CATCCCGCCTACCAGATTGTTAGAAAAATTCCGCATCCGAACGAGCGTGAATAGAAATGCGGATACAACTCGTGTGTGTGAAGTGTGTGAGAGATCAAAGCAATGCAGAAACACATTTCCTTTAAGTGATTTTCAAGCATCCAATATATTTGATTTAATACATTGTGATTTATGGGGTCCATATAGAACTCCCTCGTCTTGTGGTGCATCTTACTTTCTCACTTTGGTTGATGACTGTTCTCGAGCTGTGTGGATATATCTCTTGAATAATAAGAAAGATGTGTCACAAACCTTAATGCATTTCATCGCCTTAATAGAACGACAATACGAGAAACAAGTCAAAATATTACGAAGTGACAATGGAACTGAGTTTATGTGTCTTCAACGATATTTTCAGCAACATGGGATACTCCATCAAACCTCATGCACTGGAACACCTCAGCAAAATGGGAGAGCCGAACGAAAACATCGACACATCCTAAATGTAGCTCGTGCTCTACGATTTCAGGGAGAACTTCCACTTCAATTCTGGGAGAATGCATTTTGACCGCAGGATACTTGATCAATCGTACACCCTCAACCGTTCTCCATGGAAAAACTCCATATGAAATATTGAATGGGAAGCCACCCACTTATGACCATCTACGGGTATTTGGATGCTTGTGTTATGCACATAACCAAGATAGGAAAGGTGACAAATTTGCAAGTAGAAGTCGCAAGAATGTATTTGTTGGATATTCAATCGAAAAAAAGGGCTGGAAATTGTTTGATCTGGAAAGAGAAGTCTTCTGGACTTCGAGAGATGTTAAGTTTGTAGAACATGAATTCCCGTTTGCCTCTCTTGCCCACAGTAGACATTCAGAGGTAGGATTGCCTACTGTTGATGTTGGCATTGTCGAGGAAGCATTGCCTGGACTTGGTGCAATGAACAATGCAGAACACGTTGTGGAGACCGATGACGTTAACCCCACAACGAAGATGTGCCCACAACCGAGTTCGGGGAGGGCCACACCGAATGCCATGAACAAGAGCCTCCCACCCGGATCGTTCTCCCACCGGAACAAACCGACTCTATGATGACGGAACTAGAGGTTCCTGAGGAGCATACCTGTCCCTGCATCCCTGGGGAAAGGTCTTCGTGTACGAAAGCCATCTGTGAAGCTTCGTGATTATGTCACTAACACCACTTTACAACTCGGTCCCTCAATTCGCACTCCACATTCAGCTTCCTCAGGTATGCCTTACAGTTTGACAAAGTACTTAAATTGTGCTAAATTCTCCTTCCCCCACCGAACCTTTCTTGCAGCCCTTCATGCAGAGAGAGAACCTGTGCATTTCTTTGAAGCTGTTCGGGATGTTAGATGGAGAGATGCCATGGCTAGTGAAATTCAGGCCCTCCAAAGTAATGAAACATGGGACATTACTCCTCTACCGGCAGGGAAGAAGCCTCTGGGTTGCAAGTGGATTTATAAAATCAAATATCATTCTGATGGGAGCGTTGAACGCTTCAAAGCCCGATTAGTTGTCTTGGGAAATCACCAAGTTGAGGGGATTGACTATGACGAGACCTTTGCCCCAGTGGCAAAGATGGTCACCATTCGGACAGTGTTGGCAGTGGCAGTAGCCAAAGACTGGGAACTCCATCAAATGGATGTCCATAATGCTTTTCTGCACGGCGATCTTGAGGAAGATGTGTACATGAAAATGCCGCCAGGGTTCTTGGTGTCTCAAAAGGGTATGGTGTGTCGTCTCCGCAAGTCCCTTTATGGTCTTCGTCAAGCTCCTCGGTGTTGGTTTGCCAAGCTCTCAACTGCTCTTGTTCAATATGGGTTTCAACGTTCTTCGTCTGATCACTCCTTGTTCATCTTTCGCAAAGGAGATGTCGAACTGGTTGTGTTAGTTTACGTGGATGACCTAGTCATTGCTGGCAATCATCATGAAGACATTGCGCAATTCAAAGATTATCTTCATCAATGTTTTCGTATGAAGGACTTAGGGAAATTAAAATACTTTCTTGGGGTGGAGGTTGCCAGATCTCCTACAGGAATTTTCTTGTGTCAACGGAAGTATGCGTTGGACATCATAGCTGAAGCAGGATTGCTTGGAGGGAAACATGTGTCCACGCCAATTGAAGAAAATCATCGTTTAGCATTGGCTGATGGCGAACTACTTTCTGACCCGAGTCAATATCGATGTCTCGTCGGTCGCCTTATTTACTTGTGTTTTACACGACCTGAATTATCTTACAGTGTTCATGTCCTATCTCAATTCATGCACCAACCGCGTCAGGAGCATTGGCGGGCTGCACTCCGCGTGGTACGCTATTTAAAGGGCAGCCGGGTCGGGGTGTGCTTTTAAAAAGAGAGAGTGACCTTCGTCTTTATGGTTGGTGTGACTCGGACTTGGGCAAGTTGTCCTCTCACTCGAAGATCTCTCACCTAGGTTGGTTTATTTTCCTTGGTCAATCCCCGTTTCCTGGAAAACCAAGAAGCAACATACGGTTTCTCGATCATCCGCGAGGCGGAATATCGTTCTATGGCCAACACGACATGTGAGTTGAAATGGCTTCAAGGCCTTCTTTCGAGCCTAGGCATTACTCACACCGACCCTATGACTCTCTACTATGACAACCAAGCTGCCCTTCACATTGCCAAGAATCCTGTGTTTCATGAACGGACAAAACATATTGAAGTGGATTGTCATCTTATTCGTGATGAAATACAACACAATCATATCCAACCCTCCTATGTGTCCACTCATCATCAACTGGCTGATCTCTTCACCAAATCTCTTGGCGCCACTAAATTTGGTTCTTTTTTAGGCAAGTTGGGCATTCATAACCTTCATACTCCATCTTGAGGGAGGGTGATAAACATAGAATATACGATTACAAATACCGTATCATGCCATGATTCTACATGATTAATTTTTTCCATATTTAGCTTGGCATGACAGCGATGCACAGTGATGCACATTAATGTCATATCTGTTAATAGACAAATTTAGGATACCGACTGTAATGGTTAGCGTAATTATAGCTTAGAATGTTTCTGTATTTCATGTATATATTGTGCTATCATATTCAATACAAGACAGGGGTTTTTGGAAATATTTTTATCACAATAGGAAGTAGCTTAACCCTTTAATTGTTCACAAACTTTCTAGAAACTAATTTAGCAGTTTCTTCTACAGGTCAAGGACTCAGGGACACGGTCTTCTATCCGAGAGGTAATGTTGACATTTTAGTGATTAATGATCCTTGACATGCTTACTCATTTCTTCAATTTTAATTTAATTGAACTAGGAAACACTTTCACTTTTATTTAAACTTAAATTCACAACATTTGAATTTTATCTGTGATCTAATGTACTTGAAGGTCAAACTTCCTAGAGAGTTAATCAAGCTCTCTCCAATATCAAGTGCCATCATCCCTCATAGATCCCTAGATGGTCATCTCACAAAAACAGGCTATGTGAAATTGTCAGCTTTCTCTCAGACTGCTGCTGAAGACATGAGGAATGCCATTCAGGAATTGGAAAATCAAGGAGTGCACTCATACATACTAGATCTACGCAACAATCCTGTAATTTACTGATTTGATAGAAATGTCCATGTGTAGTGTTGTTATCTTGTCTCTGGAACAAAGTAACTTAGAAGTGTTTTCCTCTTTTTTCCTCAAAATTTTGATGCAGGGTGGCTTGGTAAAAGCTGGTCTTGATGTTGCACAGATGTGGCTAGATGGAGATGAGACTCTTGTGAACACAATCGATAGAGACGGGAACATGTTACCAATTAATATGGTCAATGGACATGCTATAACACATGATCCACTTGTGGTGATTGTGAGTACTAATTGTCTATGCCCTTTTAATTCTACAATCCTTGAGTATGCTACAAAATAGTAGCTTCAGTGATTCATGTTATTTGCATATAAAATATAGCTATTCTTTCTAGTGTATTGCACTCATATTGTTTTATATTTTCCAAGTATGTTGGTGTTAGGCAACACAAATTTTGTTCAGTTGTTTTCATTCAAGTCTGTCCCAACAATCAGAGCTAACCTAACACGAATCCTATTAAAATCCATTACATGTTTTTTGTGTAACTCCTGAGTTTTTTTCCTGGACCAAGCTCCACTGTGAGAAAGGTTCATAATCATCAACTCTTCATTCCCTGATTCTTTATCCATTCACCTATCTAACCACATGCAACTTCTATCTATTCTTTGTTTCTAAACATAAGCCAGACATATCTTGGGTTTTCATGTGCATTATGATTTCCTTTGCTGACATAATTAGTTTAATGAACTGAAATTTTGTATCCTTAACAGGTCAACGAGGGAAGTGCAAGTGCCAGCGAGATTTTAGCTGGGGCATTACATGATAATGGTCGAGCTATTCTTGTGGGGCGCAAAACATTTGGTAAAGGAAAGATTCAGGTACTATTATTCGTTTATATATATATAATATTAGTCATATCAGGATGTCTTAAGTATTCAAATCTCTAATAAACAAGATTTCCTCAAGCCACTTCGATAATCAATGTATTAAAAGGCCAGCATAGATTTTCAAGCTGAAGCAATTCTAATTAGAAAACGTCAAAAATGCTTAAGGAATTACATCTAAGTTTTGTGTTTGTTTTTCTATCAAATTCAGTTTAGAATTACATTGAGCTACTTTTTGACATGCCTTGGTTAATTGGGGAATATATCATTCTAATTTCAGAGTGTCACTGAGCTTCATGATGGATCAGCCCTCTTTGTTACAGTGGCAAAATATCTATCACCAGCTCTTCATGACATAGACCAGGTTGGGATAACACCAGATGTGCAGTGCACAACAGAAATGCTCAATTCAGCCAAGGAGATTTCAAGTTCAACCAAAGACAAGGCCTCAGTCTCATCTCTAGAAGCAGATTCATGCATAATGGTAGCAGAACATGCATTGGATATGGAGGAGTCCAAGGGCACTGCTTCTTGAACAACTGCATTTTCTTTATATCACTCTTTCTTTTCAATGTTTAACAGTTGAAAGAAAGGGTAGCTTTGTGCTGCTGTGTTAACCAGTGTTAGCCAATTCATCAATTTGTGCAATGTTACATTGGGATCACTAAGGTATACAAATAGAGAAACAGGTTGTATTGTATATACAATTCAATAGAGTAGTAAAAAATTTACAACAGTTGAAGCATATCTAGCAAGTGTTTCATTAGTGGGGATTGTAAAACTGTGAAATATTATATAAAGGTAAAATTAAAAAAAAAAAAACTAGACATAATAAAAATATATACCAAATTATAAAATTATACATTTAAACTTTTTTAATTTTGAATGATTAAAAAATAGTTTAATTAATGGAATGTTTTTTAGTAATGATGTGTAAACATCTTATTAAATGTGTGTGTTGTTGATTAAAAAACATTTCCTAACCCATTAAGGCCTTGTAGGGGTGGTTGCTAATTTTTAATTTTCAAATTTACTTTTAAAAATAAAACATATTAAAAAATGGAGTTAAAATAAGTTTTTACAATTTTGAAATACTTTTATATTTATTTTGAAAACCAGGAAAAAGAATATTTGAAAGTAATTTTTAATTTAAAAAAGCATATATTTTTTGTTATTTTTTATTAATAATAATAATAAATATTATTATTATTATTATTATAGTCATTATCTTTACTCAATTATTTTTATCATTAGATTATCATCAAGATTATAATTATTGTCTTCGGTGTTACTTATTTATCACTAAATTAATACCATATATTTAAATTAATTTATATAAAAAAAACATTTTTTAAAACTAAAAGCAAATAGGAAAAAAAAACTAATTTGAAAAACTAAAGTAGTATTAGTCATAAAATTTTAAATTTTAAATTTTACAACTTAATCACTCCGAACGGAATTTAAGTAAGGAGAAAAAAAAACATGAATTAGCATGGAAACTCATAAGATATGTGACAAATTATGTAAGAAAAATACGTGACTACATAAGATTGAAAATTCAAATTTATAATGTTGGGTTTGGGTTATTATACTTTAGCTCTCATGCTTGTGGATAAAGTTGGACTATTCTTCAAAAGCAGCGTGCTTTTCCTAGAATTTGATAAATTAAAACCACAAAACTCATCAATTGCAAGAATCAAGAAACTTAACAATTACATTAATATTTCAGCTCACACCAATAGCTGAGTAGAAATTACATGCTGTAGCTGTAGCTGTAGCTCATTATAAAGCTAATTCTACAATATCCCAAAAAATACAGCACCATTTTCAATAAGCAAGCATAAAATACATATAAACACATCAATTTTAATCCACAAACAAAGTAGGATTAGCCCCAGAAAGTGACAAATTTCAAACCCAATGTCGTCCAATTCACTGCAACATGAATGCCACAAGAGATGCCAGCACAGAAGAACACATGATCACCTCAGAAACAGGCAAAGCAAATCCAGCTCCAGCCTCCAATTGCCCTGTAGGAGCAATCTCTGAATCCTGTGCCACAATGTTGGTCACACAAAACATACTCACGATCATCACTGCCATCAAAATTTCAGTAGTGAATCTACCAAAAGGTGCCATTTCAACAGAATAATAAAATCTTTATGTTACTAATGAAATGACTAAATAGACTGAAGAGATGAACTTATATAGGACTTGGGAAAACCTGTTACTTCATGAGGTCATGATTTTTAAGTTGGTAAAATGGTGCATTAAACATGAACTATTTTGGATGTTACCATCCCTTTTTGGTTAAGGCTTTGAAGACCCCACAAGACCAATCAAAGCTAGTTGGGGAAAGGTGGCATAGCATCCTCAAAGAGACCCTTACATCAGAGCTATGTAGGAACAATCAGGTAACTACCACTTATGGTACACCCTACACTACACTTGAGTTTCCCATATGGCTTGGATAACTGACAAGTTTGGATTCATAGACATTTTTGTGCAGTTGGTTACTTGGAAGGGAAAAGAACGAGTAAAAGGGAATGTGAAAGGGATTACTAGGCAGGCTATCTTTTCTCAATTCATTGCGATTGGTGAGACATCTCTTTCAACCCAGCTCAAGCACCATTGACACAGCAACGGTTGTGATATGTCATGGAAAAAGACTTGGTCTATATATGGTTTGCATATAGATACCCCTTTTGCTTAGAGAGATGAATCTAGAAGTTCAGTTTCATTTAGCAATTCAGAATAAACGAATAATAGGATTTTTATTTTTTGCATTGTCAGTTTTGTTGACTGAGTTATAAATGTAGCTATTCAGAGATGTAAAAAGAAATATCAAAATGACATGATTTAATTTGGACCTTGTGTACTTTTGGACAGAATCAATCACAATCCATTTGAAGTTGGTTTCAACTGTTTGTTGCGAGGAATTTGTCTAGCAATCTGCATAGACCAACAGAAACCAAACATCTACAACATTGCTGAAGAGATCTTCATCCAAACTATGTGGCATCCAAAGCTTATTTTTATCAGTAGTTAGCTTAAAACCATTCAAGGAAAATATATATGTACTCTTATCATTAACTCAAGTCTTGTTTCATATGTACTTACTTTTTTAGAGTGTCATAATTTATATGTAAAGTCATTTTAGTCATATACTGTAGAAAAACAAAAAAAAAAAATTAGTCATATACTGTAAAAGAAAAACACACTTTATCACATAAATAAATCAAATCAATTATGATTTGAATTAACTTTAAACTTTTAAAATGGGTGTGAAATATGACTATAATAGTAAAAGAAAAACACATATGACATCTATATAATGGTTTCTTGTTACAACAATATACAAATATAAATATCAATCTAAGATAATAGGTTAGTTATTCGTGATCAACGTTTAAATTTCTATTAAAGATATTTATGAAACCTGTGCACAAACATAGGAAACAGTTAAAACAAACTGTATATGTCACAAGCATATATATATTCCTTGAATCCTAGTCCAACACCAACACTTGTCACACAACCCTGTTTAAGCCACCCTAAAACCATGCAAAACCACACATGTAAACCCTATCACAACAAACCAATAACCATTTACCCTAAATGGCACCAACCCCTACCCTATAAATCCCTTGCCAAGCCCTCATTCTTCCTCAGACCTGCACCAAAATTCAAAAAATAAACAGCTTCTTTCTCAACCAAGCGGGTCTCTCCACCTTCCAAAAACTCTCACTATCATCATGGACATGAGGAAGGTTTCCTGTGCCGTTCTCATTGTTGCTGCCTCCATGAGTGCAGCATTGGCTGCCACAGAGGTTCCTGCACCTGCCCCTGGCCCTAGCAGTGGTGCCTCAGCCACTGTTGTTGGCTCCTTGGTTGGTGCCTCAGTCTTGTCCTTCTTTGCCTTGTTCCACTAAAATGTGACATGGGAATAGGGTTGAAGGAACATCCAGTAGAGGAAGAGGATGCTTATATTCATTTATTTATACACATATGTAAGGAATAAAGTGTGAACACAGCAATTATATGTTTGTGCATGTTATGTGTCATCAACATTGTTGGCAATGTAATTGATTTGTGTTCATAATGAAAAAAAATAATATTTTAAACATGTGTTAGCCTTTGTTTATTTTTCTTAGAGATGGAACTGGTTTGATCACAATACTTTTTTTTCATGAATTTTTATTTTTGTTTTTTCTTATATCTGGAAGAGTAAAATTCTTCTGATTTTGAATCATATCATATTATCTGCACCTAGTTTTCCTCAATGAATAGAACTATAATCACTTCTATGAAACATTACAATTTGACCATAACATATACAATATACTATGACATTTTTAAATATCTTGATTACTATGTAATTACTATTTACAGGCTATAACGTCTCAGTTTCAAAAAAATTCTAGAAACTTCTGATTCTATGAACCGATTATAGAACTAATCTTTCATTCGAAGCTTGGACACACTTGAGGAGTAAAATGATAATTCATTTTACCGCAGTTTAAGCAATATTTTATACACAAAGGAAACAAAGAAGGTTCCAGTAACAAGCAACAATTAACACAGGGTAATCATGCATTCTTTGAAATCCCACATCACCTTATCTGGCCAGCTACGAAAAGTAATTCAATATGAATAAAAGTTCAGATCAATTACAGAAGTCTGAATTTATGTCAAATTGTTACTGTTTTTTCTGTTTTTTTTTTTTTTTTTTTCAAAATCTTGAGAGGATAAGTAACTCAGGGTTGAAATTGAAAACAAAATAACTCAAGCAGCTGTAATGTTTTCACATGATTGAAAATTTACGAGACCGCAAAGACATAATCAATAGTAATACAGTCCTTCAAATTACAAGCATCAATTAATTTAGTACTTTAAAATGTTAATTTGGTCTCTAAAATTACCCTAACATTTGAACCTGGAAATCATAAATATAATAAGATAAACGACGAATACTTAGAAACCAGAAAACCAGGCTAATAATCAGTCCAACCAAATCAAGATATCTTATAATCAAGACAACCTTTTAAATAAAACATGAAGCTCAAGGCCTTAGTTTGCCAAGTTTGAGAGAGAGGGGACTCTAATGTTCTTGCAAATGAATGATCATAGCTTCCATAAAAACACCAATGAATATTCACCATTTCAAATATAATTTAATCCATTTACAATACACCGTTTACAAGCAAAGAATTTATGGGATGTTATTCTCCAGCCTCAAATCTTCAATCAAGCAAAAGTCTCAAATAAACAAACTCATGTTAACAGTTGGAAATACACATTTTTCTTACAATAATGTATAAATAATGAGCACAACACCTCTCACAAACTACGTTTTAGAATTAAGTTTTTGTGAGGCCATGAGGCTATTCGTAAGCAATATTGCTGTTTCTCTGGATGACACAGATACAGCATCTTCTCCAAATGGTCTTAGCACAGCACCAAGCTCTTCAAGTTTACCTTGCTGAAGTAGCTGAGCACATAACTCAAGCAGGGATTCCAGAGCATCAGCTCTTTGCTGGCAGGAAGTATTACTGCCTCTTGAAATACGTGTGCTTGATGAAATGCCATTTGCTGGCTTATTGGCCACGACAGCATTATTGTCTTCTTTACACGTTGAACAACTGATTGTGTGTGTGTTTTCTCTGCTTTCATCCTTACCTAGATGCGTGTTGTTAGTATCAGAAGTCAAGCTGTCCATGCGTGTGCCTTCCTTAAATGCTTCAAGGTTTTCATTTTCCTTCAAGCTGCTTCCAGTTTCAGTGTCACGTTCAACCTTAACAGCTTGTGCCATTGGCGATGATGACCTTTCCTCATCAATGGACACATCTTTATCACTGCAGCTGCTGACATCACTGGACAAAGATTTTATAGAGTCCTCAGGTTTAGCATCTTTCTCCTGTGTATCAGCTTTATCAAAACCTTCATTGGAAAGTTTATCTTCAACTTCTGTAGTCACTGCATTTATGTCAATTGCATCAGACTTCTGAAAATGTTCATCAGCGAGTCGTTGTTCTTCACCTACAGAATCTACCATACTCTTTGACGTGATCTCACCACCAGGTCCATCTTCATCATTACCATTGCTGTTATCGTAGGAAACTGATTTACTGCAGCACTCAAGTTTGGCATCTTCCCTCTGTGCTTCAGCTTTATTAAAACCTTCATTAGAAATTTTGTCTGCATCCAACTTTTGAACATGTTTAGCAATAAACCATTGCTCTTCAGGCACAGAATCGAGTGTACTGTTTGATCTGATCTCATCAATGGACCCATCATTATCATTACTATCACTGTTTTCATTGGACACTACTGATATTCTGGAGTCCTCATGTTTGGCATTTTTACTCTCTGTTTCAGTTTGGTCAAAAGCTTCATTGGAAAAATTGTCTTCAACTTTTGTAACCACTGCATTCGAGTCAATCACATCTGACTTCGGAAAATGTTCAGCAGCAAATTTATGTTCATCATGCGCAGATTCTAGCATACTCTTTGAAGTGATCTCATTAATGGACCCATCATTATCATTACCTTCGCTGTTTTCAATGGACACTAGTGAGTGTCCAGAGTCCTCAGGTTTGGCATTTTCCCTCTCTGCTTCCATTTTATCAAAACCTTCATTGGAAAAATCATCTTCTACTTTTGTAGATACTGCGCTTGGGTCAATCATACCTGACTTCTGAAAATGATCAGCCGTAGATCCTTGATCTTCATGCACAGAATCTAGGGTACTCTTTGACATGATCTCATCGATGGACTCATCCTTATCATTACTGTTGCTGTCTTCACTGGACATGGTTGATTTAATGGACTCCTCAGGTTTGGCACCTTCACTCAGTGCTTCATCTGTATTGAAATCTTCAATGGAAAAACTATCTTCATTTTTAATTACTGTATTTATGTCAATTGCATATGACTTGAGAGTAGTAACTCCTTGTTCTTCATGCACACAATGTATTGTACTCTTTGAAGTGATCTCACTGTCAGCCGTGTCCCTTGCAAATTTATTTTTAAAGTCTCCTTCCTTGCACACACTGCAAACGGTTGATTCAGATGTTGTTGAGTCATCTTTTGATCCACTAATACTTGTAGAAAATTCCAGAGTGTAACTGGTAGAATCAACCATTTTGGTCTCAAGGTTGTCTTTGGCGCTGATTGGCACTGCTAGCTTGCCGTCATTATGGCGGTTCCGCGTCTGTACATCTCCATTTCCCTCAAATGGATAAATTCGATCCAAACGATTTACTAATCCTGCCAACCCTGCCTCCTTGTCCCAATGGTCTTTGCCACCACTAGATTTGTTTTTTGTTTTATCCTTTGGAGAGTTACTATTTATAAGATGTACTGGTAGATAAATAGATGAAGCATTACGACAGCGTAGAACATAAGGTTGTAAATGAGGATGCCTTAATAATTCAGATGCCTGCCAACAAAGAGTGATGTAAGAATAAACAGCTCCACATAAATAAGTTACACAAGAAAAGTTCTGTTGAACTCACTGTTGGTCTATGCTCTGGGTTTTTCCTCAGCATGCTCTTGATAAGTTGTTTCCTGAAAAACATAAATTGCATTAGTCTTCTTGCTTCAGTTTTATCATTTTAATGACATTTAAAGGAACTGAAGGGTTTGCCTGGTATATTTTTGTTGGATTTGAATAGATATGATAAATTTTGAAAAGCTCGGGTAGGAAAAGCATGAGAGCAGTGTGAATGGGTTTTAGGTGTTGAAATTGTGGTTTTGGTAGTGAAGGAGGTAAAAGAACAGGGATTCAAATTACAAGAAAATGAAAAGGTGTATTATGAATTTTTGATACGCAGTTATCTGATATAAAAGATTAATCCAGTGCTGCTATCTAGTGCATATTTGGTTCAACTTATTTTGGAGAAACGATTGCTTATATTTCCAGCTTCATTTAATAAGGTTAATTAGTGATGTAGCAATGCTAGAACAAGCCCGAGCACGCAGCACAAGATAATAAAATAAAATTGCTTAAAGTGACTAAATAAGAAACATGATAAAATTATGAAACAATGCCCAAGATTGCTTCCCAAATATGATGTCTAATTGGTGAGATAATATTATTCTAAGAACTTCAACAATATTTAGAGATATTCTGAAATATATAAAGGCACATTAAATATATTGAGATAATTTGTATATATTAACACTTCCCTTGAAGCTAATGCTTACACAAGTTTTAACCTTGTCACAAGATACTATGAAAATTCTGAAAAATAATGTCAGCTATAACCAAAGTTGGGAACTACTCCAGATGAGGGATAAGGCCCAAATTACTCCAAATCCATCGCAAAAGATTCAAATTGAAAGAAAAATTAGTAGCCCCAAAACTAAAAACTGAAGCTGAGTGTGAATCACGTCCATATTTAAGATTTTAAGATTATATAGAGATTATATTGCAGCCAATAGAGAAATAATCACTGGTATTACTCATCAATTGAGGGAAGAAATCACCATCAGTATGATTTGTCTGTGGGAACCTGGTGTAAATTGCATCCAATAGACAAATCATTAGTTAGATGAATAAAATCACCAACAGTATGAGGATTTACTGTGGGAAGAATACTGACCACTTGTATGATTGTTTGTGGTGGGCAGAGATCTCACTGCCAAAATGATCATCAGCAAGAGGTGACATCACCAACAGAATGATTGTTGGCAGGAAGAGATGTCACCATTGAAATGATCATAGACAAAAAGGGATGTCATCAGACTCACCACCTAGGTGGCGAAAGATGTAGTCTATCATCCTCATTCCCATCAATGCTATCCCAGCATTGGAAAATTGATTTTTACACCAAACAGGGAAGAAAGCAAATATGAAGATTTACAAGAGTATTAACAAGAAAGGAGGAAAAGAAAAGGTTGTCATATAGACAATGCAGAATGAAACAAAAATGCATGAAAGGAAAAAGCAGAATTTTAGTTTCTATAATCGGTGCACAGCCAACAGTAAGAATTATAGGGGCAAAGAGACGGTTTTGGAATGGAAGGAGGAAAAGAGAGAACAAAGACCATGAGTAATAACATATTAGATTCATATGGTTATTATGAAATATTGCAAAATAATAACACAATGGTTCTATTTAAACTGTTGAATTTAGCTGCAGTGATTTAGGGCGGGAAGATAGAACAAAAAACTGTGGAAAGAATTTACAAATGGAAATGTTTTGTTATTTAGTAAAAATGCATGTTAACTCCTAATAGTGGAGACCAGATCAGATCCTTGTGTACTAGTAATTATGTGCAACTGCTTAGACACCAATACCTATGAGTACTAAATGCATTTTATCATGGGATACATGAACATATTATTTCCTAAGTGCATTAACTATGATTATTTCCACCAGATACTAAAGAAAACAGGTTAAGTTTTGCGATAGTATTAGCATATTCGCTGGCTAATATAATAGGATTAATAACCCTAATTAAATACAATATATATATATATATATATATATATATATATATAGAGAGAGAGAGAGAGAGAGAGAGAGAGAACAAAACAACTCCTATGATTGCGCCCTCAGATTTTTAATTGAGTACAAGATCTAGAAAATTTTAAGATACTAGATGTATTCTGAATATTTTGTAGATATTCTCACATGAAAAAAGTTACTCACAGTGTGGACGAGTAAACAATTGGCATTGGAGAAACGGAGCATCTATTTATTTTATTGATAAGCCCAGTCCTGTCCTGTTTGATTCATTCATGATTCACCAAATTATTTCATTCATATATTGGAGAAACTTCATTGTCAGTAATAACATCAAACTCATAAAGATGATTCGGTTTTGTTCTTACTGGAGCACGAAATGCCAGTTGATGTGCAACAATTTCAAACATGCAGCAACCTTTACATACAAAGACACATCATTTTGACACAAGGTCAGATATCATGGCATATGACTTTGTAAACTAGAATCAAGCATCGGTAGTTCTTACCAAGTGACCACATATCCGATTTATAACCGTAAGGCATACCAGCAAAGGCCTCAGGACACATGTAGTTTAGAGTTCCAACAGCCTACAAAAGATATAAGATGGACATAAACAACAAACAGCCGTTAAGTTGCATTATCATTTGTGATTCAAGGTTTAAGGAAAGAACGAAAAGGCTATCCAATTTTAGTTACAAAATCAATTATTTGGTGTGACAATCTACTATCAGGGGACAACTGCAAAAAAAATCATGAAGAAAGCAGCAGATAAAGCTAGTATATTACTATTTACATTACCGGGGAAGTAAGGTCTTCAGTGTTAAGAAGCTTTGCAAGACCAAATTCACCTGCAGTGTCCATGTAATGCATATTTTCTTTACACAACATGGTATGCGGAAACCCAAAGGGAAGAGCATACAAAGGATAATGCATTCATACCTAGCCGAATGTTATTTTCTTTGGTCAGGAATATGTTGGAACACTGAAATAAAAAGAAGTTTCATTAATATAAATACCATGTAAGGATTTCTTTGCCAGGATATAAGAATAAGTAGTACCTTAAGATCTCTGTGGAGTACCCTATTGGAGTGAAGGTAGTCCACAGCTAGTAACAACTGAGTCAACCATTTGCAGACTTTCTATGGGATAGAATGGAAATGCATAAGGGTTACGAAATACTGAAAAGGAATAAAGAGAGAATGAAAGCAAATGGAAGATAAGGGGTGAAGTACAAAGTTTTCTTCCCCATTTTTTCCGGCCAAGGGTTACATGATAATTCCTAATTTGTTAAGACTCTCAATAAGAAGGAAGTTCACTTAAAACCTTTCCTCCCTCCCTTTCTTCCATTGTCCCCCAGCAACACAAACACAAAGGAATGGAACATGAAACCTTATTAGTTACCTCCTCTGAAAAATAAGATCCCCGAGCTTTCTTTACATTCGCAGTCCTGCTCCAGAAGAATGTAATATTCAATGATTTAAAATTTAGGTAACAAGCCATAATGCTACCAAGAGTCATATAAAATGTACACTAAACATATATGCTATGCTGTATAATACATGAGACCCACGGAAACACTTCACGATTTATCCCACGGTCCTTTTTGTCCTTGCAAAAGTTTAACATCTATTAACAATAATCCTATCAGAATCACCACATTACATATTACAAAACACTTTTATTCCACAGTTTTTAAAACATACTTGTCACCTCCTGTCTCCTAATTAAAATTTTAAAATAACATTTTCCTTCTGCGGATTGAACTCAGTATAAAGTTCAGTGTAGCTTCTGCAGAAGATAGAAGCTCGTATTTTGTTCATATTTCAAGTTTAGTAAGCTTCACCCAGAGGGACGTATTAAGATTGGTTACATGCAGAGAGCTAATCAAACATTTTACTTCTAATCATTGCATGGCATTCTCTGTCTACAATGGATAACTCGGAACCTTAGTTTATGCTAGAAACAATCTGTACCGCTAATAGATATTACCATACTTACATGTCACCCCCTTCACAATAGCCAGTTATAATGCATATGTAATCCTCCTACGAAACATAAAAATAAGATATTTGTAAGGATTCATAAACATTTAATTAAGCCAAATTCTATCGAACTTCAAACTTATTCTCAGCAATATATAAAAGTGCAAATAAAAATTTCAAAAAAAGGAAAGGAAAGGGTAGGAAAGAATAACTGTGTCTTTACCTTCTCCACCCAAGCATCTTTGTACTCCACAATATAAGGGTGATTAAGTTTAGCTATCAGGTCCATCTGGTACAGAAAAAGAGAGAATATTACTATTTTTTTGTCAGAACTATGAAGGTAAGAAAACATTCCTTCAAAACCATGAAGGTAAATCTCTCAGAAATGAAGTCAGTGAAATCATTACTAATAATATTATATTTACAGAAAAATTAGGTTCAGAATTAAGATGTTACTTCGCTCACATAAAAATGGTATATCACATGGTGCTCATAACATTTGTAAGCATAATAATATAAAAAAAACATACATCCTCTACTCCGGATGGACTAGAAGTCTAATCAGTACTTCAAATGACAATGATGAGTACTGAGTAGCAGAGGACCTACAAGATTCATTAAATGAAGCAAAATTCAATTTGATTTTACTGGTATGTTTTTAATATGTCTGTGTCTGTGCAGAAGGAATGCTAAATCTGGAATTTAACACATATTCAGATGACTGGTTTATGTGTAGCAGGAATGAAGTATAACCAACTGTGCCATGTTCATAGATCATCGTGGAAGATAGAGAAAGATATTGAGAAACACAAGTAACTAGTTATGTTGAGCTTATTCAAGCCATGGATGACTCAAAAGTCAAAAGAAAGTAGGAAACTGAGTCGATCATCATTTCTATTTATTCTTTGGAGATGGGACAGATTAAAAACCACTTCAAAAAAGAAACAACAAAAGTTAAAGGTAGAACAAAAACAGAAGTGTTGATAACTTGCACGAAACAGTAGCAAGCCCTGTCAATTAGGTTAGAAAGTAAGAAAATATGAGAAAATAATACCAACAAATAAATAATTGCCTGGTTGACACCCAATATATGCATTGAAAAGGGTTGGTTACAGTAACCTCTTGTAGTGCTGTTTCTTTGGATTTGTCTGCTTGTTTGGACAAGTGAATTTTCTTCAGCACATACCTACCATACCATAGACATTTTCCATTATGAAAATGAATAAAAAACTGAAGCTGAAAAGCAAAACTGTGTTGAATTAGCATAGTTTTTAGCCCCAAACAATAGAATTTTTTCTGGGTTCTCCATTTCTGAACTAAAAATGGATTCATCTAGTGTCCATGTCAAAATCTAGTAGCTACTGAACTTGAAGGGCTTTCAATTGCCACAATCGACCACTAAAATCTCAAAAAGATTGAAATTTTCTTTGTGGGATTGTCCAAATTTGACCAAAGAAAAGATCTTGAAGAGTCCATGTCGCACGGTTCCAGTCAGCAAGTACACAGAACACACAGAAAAAAGACAGAATAAAAAAAAAAAGTACAGTGTGTTACCTCTTTTTCTCAATCTTGTGTAAAACAAGAAAAGTTGCACCAAGTGCTCCTCTTCCAATTTGCTGAATCACTTCATAGTCTTCCATCTTGCTAAACCTCCAGATGAAGCTACAAGACAAAACAGTGAAAAACTGAAGCAGCAGATCCTGATTTGCTGGGAACCCAATTGAGGTAACGTTTGATTCGTTATTTTATGGCAAAGTTTGTTGCCGTTGTGAGTATAAATTTCAGGCACCAACCCTTCTGCTTCTTCCAAATGCTGTAAATGAACACAAACCTATGACTTCAATATAAAGCATTAACTATTAGACTGTCTTAGGTGCCTATTGAATGAGCTTCAACAACCATGAAGAAGGGGTTTCAACTTTCCACAACTATGATGACTTGAACTAAACTAGCTTCTCAGGTGCTTGAAGAGAGAGAGAGAGAGAGAGAGAGAGAGAGAGAGAGAGTGGAACACCAAGAAAATGGAGAGTTTAATGACTTACCAAAAGAGAGAAGAGAGTCGAGAGAGAAAAGAGGAATGAAAGACAACAAAGTCAAGTAAAGAAATGCAGCAGAAGAGACATGTTGTGAATTTTAATAATACTACTACTTTAATCGATAAGCCTGTAACAGTGACTAAATTTAGTGTTGTTGTGGCTACCATAATTTAAGCCTTCAATAAAGGATGCTATTTATGCTAATTTTCCTTTCCAAATTTCTTATCCATATGAATTCATTCTCAAACTCATCACAACTTTCAAATCCATAACATTATTTTTAAAATGCACACAATAATTACACAAAGTAAGTTCTTTTTATATGTTATAATAAAAAAAAAAACAGGTCATTATAGACTTTTCCACAAACAGTTACACTTAATTACTTCATTCAGCTCTATTTAATTAATAACATTATTTTCAAAGATAATTTAATTAATTATACCACATCTAATTAAGTTAATTGTAACATAATTTAATCAATATTTTGTTACTATAATTAACATTTTTAGAAAAGATATTAATTTTCGTTTTTATTTCTACCAATGACGCAACTCAATTATTTTATTTCATAGGTTTATTATTACAATTTTTTAGTACTTTAATCCATTCTACTTGCATAAAATCAAGTTCACACTTATATATAATTAGTGTTTCACTAATATAATTAAGATTCATCTTATATATTACGATTTATTTATGTCATCATTTTAATTTATAATGTATTATTTATTCTATATAATGAAGAATATCAAATTTATATGATAAGACTAAAAATGATATTTGTTGCCGACATTTTGCAGGGTCGAGTTGACGGAAAAATTAAGGTTTGAATTATTGTGATCTCAAAGATATATAATGTAAACCAGTCCTATTAATTAAAAAAAATATCAACAACCATATAATTTATTTAATTTTTTAAAAAATATTAACAACTATAAAGTTGTTAAAAATTCATTATTAAAAAGTGAGAATAAATTTACAAAAAGAAGAAAAATATGAGAAAGTTACGAAATTTTGGACATTAGGGCTAACATTTATTTTTTTTCAAAAAGATGTAGGGATTTCAGGATTGGTGAAGAAAGTGAATTTCCCAAAGAGCCCCAAATATTGTTAATATTTGATTATTTGTTTAATTAATATTTAATTAATCTCTCAACTTCTTTTGCTGACTACTACCACACCACTCTCTCTTTCTTCTTCATTTCTCAATTGTCTTTTTCTCTATCCTATGACACTTTTTATTACACTTTTTTATTTATTTAGGTTTTGAAGTATACAAGTACCTTACTCAATTATTAGAGTTCACATACTCATTTTTCTCAAAAGACTTTTACATGCAAAATATACAAAAAAAAAAAAATATTACATGAATTAAATTATTTTTTTTAAACTATATAAAAAAAACTTTTGTAAGTTAATTTATGCATAGCTAATTTTAATTTATAATTTTTTTTCTTTATTGTTATAAAATATAATTCTTATACAAATTCATTCAAACATATATAAAATAAAAAATCTTATCAATATGTAAAAAATGATATATTCGTCTCATCTAACCTAAAATACTAATGGCAAATTGAAAACAAATGAATTTGTTGATCCAAACTCTTTTTCTTTAAAAAAAATAAATGTTACTAAATATTTAGGTTTGAAATTATTTTCAGGTTTTTTTTATGTTTACAAAAAGAATATTTTTTATTATTGTTATTAAAAATATATTCATTTTCGTAAATGAAAAAAATAAGTACATTACATTTTATTACATTTGTCTCACTATATTTTAAAATTGGATCGATTACTAATTAAGTCACTAATTTAAGATTTAGTAATTAATTGAATGGAAATTATATTAACATTAATACAATTACATTTAATAACTGAAAGTGTAAAAATAATATTAAAAATATATAATTTCATAATTTCATGATACTAAAAACTAAAATAAAACGTAAATGTATATATGAAAGAATATATGAAATATCACTTAAAACAAAATTTGACATTTAAAGGGATTAAAAAATCAAATAAAGAAAAAACGTTGACACCACAACCTTCTGTTTGCGATGGTGGGACGTGTTAACCATAACATAATCGATCATCACCTACTTATATTTTAATTTATTTTTACCTTTTCTTTATCTTTTAAGTTTTATTTATTTTTATATTTGATTTTAGGCCATGTAAAATAAATCGATTTTAATTTGTCAAACAAACTATTTTTTCCTCTTTGATGGCACTTGCAAAACCCCAGTAAAAGAGGAGAGCAAAAACTTTAAATCTGAAACAAACTGTAATCCAAATAGAGGGAAGAAAGGATTTCCAATTTTAAAAAGATAGTAGATTTTTAAAAATAATAAATGAAAATCTTTAAATTTCTATTTATAACTTTAAAATTTAACTAAAACAAATTTTCATTCTTTACGAACTTTAAATCTCTAATCTAATATTCTTAAAAAATCAAATAAAAAATTATTTTCTTACTATGACTTCAACTTGATTCAAATAAATTATGATACTCCAATATCTATTTACACAAGTGACAAACATATCGCATGTGTTTTCAAAATGAATTATCGAATAGATTAATGCATAATGTATTCAAGTTTTGCACGCAATATTTCTGTCAGTAAAATTTTAATCTTGAGTATTATATATTAAATATTTGAAGAAATTTAGGACTTAGGATTTCTTTAATATAGCTTATATCTTTTTTTTTTTAACTTTAAAAGCATTCCTAGGAATATAAAGAATCAAACAAACACAATTGTAGACATTTATAAGAAAATCATTCCAGTTAAAATATTCCTGAGAAAGCAATTTCATATCATAAAACAATCACCATGTATACGTTTTTCACCAAATTATCATGGGGTATAAACTAGCTTTTACCCTCGGTTGTTTGTTAAGAACGGTGAATAAGGTAATTGGTGTTTCATTTAAATCAAATTGGGATCAAAATAGGTACTGAAGCTTCAAAAACAATAAAACGGATCAGAAAAAATTGATAGAAGATAAACATAAATGCCAAAAACTTCAGGAAAGTTCCTGCTGTTTCAGCATTGACAGTAACCAGTCACATTAACATAATCATGCGCATGAAAATAACTACCCTTCAGCAAAAAATAAGAATTTGCACGAACATTGAGTTGGTCATTTTCGCTTTGACTTTTTTGAGGACCTTCGCTTTTCCATCTTTCTCTGTGCAGCTTCAAATTCTTCTTCAGAGGGTTCTGGCATTTGACCCCCACCATACTTTGAAATTAGAGATGAGAACATAGAATCAAAGCGATCTTTCCTCTCGTGTCTACGCTGTGATATGATAGCACACAGATCTGTTTCTGATTGCTTATTTGATGATCTGTAGAAAGATTTAAACATCAGTATGCCTAAATTACAGTGCAACATAATATAAAATCAAACCCTGCTTGCAAACTTACTTTGCCCGCCTTTTTAAGGGACTAGTAGGTGGCTTGGTCTCTGATATTTTATTTCCCCATTTCTTGTAGGCTTTTGTTTCCTTCAGTTCTCCTAAATATATGAAGAGAGGAAAACAAGCATCAAGGAAATTGAACAACCCAAGTAAAATATTTCCCTATATTAATATGCTCAATCTCTCTGCGAAAAGTAAAAATAACTACATGGTCTCCCGTTATCTTATCAACTTCAAGATCATTATTCAAAATTCAATACAATTCTTTTCTAACAGTGAAACCTACATCTATCTCGATCAGACGTCTGATTGAAATTTGGGCAAGAATAGCGAACGATATTCTTACCAGCAGCTATAGTCTCATCAAGAATATCCTTGAATCGATGTGAATCAAGTTTAGGATCTGAACAAAGCATTGAACAGAATATTCTGCAAAGGGAAGTTACCAAATATCAAGCTGACGTCCTTTACCCAACAAAAAATTCCTAATTATCACAATGTTTTTACCTGTTCATATTACCCTTGCATTTCTTGTACAGGTCAATCAAATCATTTTTCTCAGAGTCAGATCCCCTATAGTTTGCTTCAAACTCCTCAATATCAGCTTCAGTGACCTATGGGCAAATATTACAAAACTACACAGATGAAAACAAGTATACTACAATAATGCATAAGAAAAAAAAAAAGGATCATATACTAAAACATGTACCTTCTTGTACATAGCTCTGAAATATTCTTTAAGATTCTGGACAACATCCCCTGCAAGCTCCTGTTTTTCAGAAATAAAAACTGAGTGGTAAATATCTAAGACAATGCTGACGTATTCTAAAAATCTATATTTCATTTTGCTATGGTGTTGTCCAATGATATTGTTATAAAGAAAACAGTTTCCTCCAATGAATTAAAAAGACAAATAGATAAAAAATACATCCAGACATTGTAAATTACAAATCAATTATACTATGGCTTTTACTGAAACACTTACGGCGTCATCAATACAACCAGTCTGATCATAAACAGCTCGTTTTTCTTCATCCCCAAGAATTGAGATAACATGCTGCAATTGCTGAAACTTTGCTTTAGCTTCCTGTAAAAGATAACCAATTTCAACCAAAACTATCTATAATTTCAATGAATAAGTTAACAAAAAAAAGCTAGACAAAACACCTCATCATTGGGGTTCTTATCAGGATGCAGCCTCAATGCCAATTTGTAGTATGCCTTCTTTATTTCCTGTTGAGATGCTGTTCTCTCCACACCAAGAGCCTAACAGCAAGATCATGCAATCAGTAACCAAAACATCCTTGTTCATACATGACCATGTCATGTAGCACCATGAATAGAACACTGATTTAGCAGAATGACCATGAGCTCAAGTGTTCCAGATGTGCAAGAGACTAGGAAAGATTGGAAATACTGATTTCTCCTTATACCAAAATGATTACAGAGGAAACTCCATTCCCTCATCCCAAAGACATCAAACCAATTGTATACTAAAAAGGAGGAAAAGGGGAGGAACAAAATGAACATGATTGTGTGGCTTAATTTTTTCAAACATTACTTGCAACATACTCTCTAACAAACTCCTTACTATTGTTTATAAGTTATAAAAAAGTATAAAAAACATGAGTGATACTTCAATCACACACCCAAGCATTGATTAAAATGTGTTGATACTATATAAATCAATCATAAGTGGGACTCATTGAATAAAAAGTGAGATCCACAAAATTGTGTTTTTCAATCAATACCAGAGAGAAGTCTAAGAGTGTGCGCTAGCATCCCTTGATTTTCTGATTCCTGGTGTATCCCCACCAGAAAATGTGAGATACTAAACCCTGACAATTCCTTCAGAATCACAATTACAAGCCTGTAACCCCAGTTTCTTCCACTCAGACCAACACAGACTAGTGACATCAATCTAATCTATTGTATGAAATCCAATAGATAAATAAGAATGAGACTAATGAGAAAGATGTTTCATTCACTCCAAAACATCATGAAAAACTCTCCTCAAAGTCTCCAACAAAATATTCCCCGAAATGTGAAGGTTTATAACACTGAATACCCCCCAATGAAAGCTACCCCAAGGGTTAAAGATTGGATCGATAGAAGACTATGGAAAAAAAAAAAAACAAATAGGGGGCGATTTGGTAAATAGGTATAAACGAGTACAAACTGAGATTGAAGGAAAAAATGTAAAATACCTGGTAAAGGTTGTATTCATCGTGATCAGAAGGATAGGTGTCCGATTCAATTTCCTCGTCGTCCGAAACCCTACTTCTCTTCTTCTTTCCCATTTTTTTTCTAACTTTACAATATTGATTTTGCTTTGATTTGGTGTTGGACCTTAGTTTAACTAAAATTTAAAGGTATAAATAAAGTAAAAAATGTTAAAAAAAAAATAAAGAAAAGAAAAAATTAAAGATTTCGGTCAATTTGTTCCCGCCATTCCTTTGTAGTTTCAGTGTTTTCCCGCGGTCACGTTCTGTTGAGGATTGGTTTATGTATTAAATTTGACTGCTCATATTGAATGTCAAATCAGGTTAAGAAAGTTATTTTAATAATAAAATTACTTACATTAATATTAAAAATATATAATTTTATAATATTAAAATAGAATAAATTTATTATATTTAAATTGAAACTTCAATAATATAACTCAATATTTATTAATAATAACATTTGAAAAGATAAAAACTAATTATTTTTATAAAAATATTAATAAATAATTATAAAAATAAGATTCAATTCATAAATAAAAATTATTTTGCACGTAATAGTGCGAAGGATAATTTTTTGACAAGTTTTATATTATGTATAACTTCCTTTAATTGGACAGGTAAACACAAATACAGTTAAATAAATATGATAAAAAAAATTAGTGTGAATAAGAAAAATATTTTAATATTATTAGAAAAAATATGAAACATTTAAATAGAAAAATAAGTAAAAAATATACTAATAAAAAAAAATTTAAAAGAAATTGTTATTATAACAAAATATTAGGATATTTATTCGTATTATTTATGGAAGTTATGACATCAAAATTCAATCTCACTAGCATTTTTTTTTATTTTTTTTTAATTTATTTATGAAATAATTTTAAATATTATTTTTTAGATAATAGAAAGTCAAAGAAAAATAATTTTCTGATTTTAAAATAATATATCTTAGTTTTCGATACAACTTGTTAAACTTTTTTTTAAAATATAAAATAGATTTAAAAAAAAATCAAACCGTGAACTTCTCAGTTATTAGAATTAATTTTTTTTTGTGATTATTACTAAAGATGGACTGAACATGATAAATGATAAAGAAAGATAATTTAAATTATTCTAGACATTTTCTACTCTACTCGATCTGAGTTTGAAAATCAAATTCAATGTAAATTTCAGTCAAACCAATACCACCTTATTCTATCAATAAACAAATTTAAGAGTGAGAAAACATCCATTACTCTGCGTAAAAATGTGTAATACATTATTCTAAATGCTGAAAATCATGCTCAAGCATATCATCCACAATTTCAAGGATTAGATGAATCAAAATATAGTGATATGACTAAATTGATTCTAAAACTATTCTACCTGTTGGGATAAGAAAGTATACCATGTTTTAATTACTTCAAATTCACTACAAGAAAATACACCGTTAGCATCACAAAAGTTAATTGTCACAATGATACACTCGACCTCACCCAGTTAATAATCCTCATGCAGACTATATTACAATTGTCAAAGTTCACAATAAACAAATATAAAAACAGAACAAAAGAGGTTCCTGGTCAGGCTTCATCATCTAAGGATTGATTGTCCATATGATCTTGATAGTGTAGATGTCCAGGCTTCTTGTTCTTAGTGCAGGAGCCTAACTGGTCCTCCAAAACTACCATCGGATCCATCATAGTGCACATGTACTGCTTCAAGAAAGCAATAATCTCCTCGGCATTTTTAATCCTTTCGTTCAGTTACAGGCTCTTGCTCAACTCCAGTGACCCTCTCATCAATCGCAACTTGGTCAATGAAGGAGCTCAAGACTATGGAGTGAGTGCATCACATCATGATAGAGGTTCACAAATTTGCAGTGTCGTAAACCTAGCTCTTGCCACGTCCTGCAACAATCCAAGCTTGACTAATAAGCCCGCATTCATTAGTGAAGTCTCACCAATTTGCATCTGCATTTGGCTAAAATGCTGCTGAAGTTCTCCTGTTCAAAAGAAGAAAAGTTGTATAAAGATGATGCATATGTCAAACAATTCCATATGATCAAATACCATTGTCAGACCTTTTCTTGTGGCTGACCAAGAAAGCAGGATCCACAGATCACCCAACTTTTCAGACCTTCTGGATGTACCTCTGACCCTGATGAGCAGAGTCATGGTCCCTTTGTTTCTCCTACCGCCTCCTATTCATGTAGAAAATCTGTTTCAAATTGCATACTCTTGAATATTTAAACATTGAATATTTTCAAATGTAACTAAACCCTGCAAATAAACTTACTTTGCCGTCTTTTTGAGGGACTAGTTGATGGTCTTCTTGAGGGATTAGTTGATGGCTAAGAGAAAAGAGGAAAATAAGCATCAAGATAATTATTGAATACAAGAAAAAATTTTCCTATATTAATCTCTCTTCTTAAATATAACTGAATTGTCTCCCTATTATCATATGGGCTTAAAGATCTATCTCACATTCAAAATTCTTTATCTCTTTTATAGCTGCGAAACCTACATCTAGATCAAATGATTGAAGGATTGAAATTTGGAGTTACAATAGCTAGTTACCAGCAGCTATAGTCTCATCAAGAATATCCTTGATTTGGTGAGTCATGTTTAGGATCTGAACAAAGAAATGAACAGTCTGCAAGGGATGCAAAGGGAAGTTACTTCAGACATCAAGCTGAAATCCTTTACCTAGCAAAAGGTTCTTGCTCATCACAATATTTTTAGCTGTTCTACTGTCCTTGTATTCCTTGTACAAATCAATCAGATCATATTTCTGAGTCGGATCCCTTATAGTTTGCTTCAAGCTCCTCAATAACTAGTATACCACTACAAACTCATCTTGCTCTCAGATCCTGCAAGCAGTGTTCAAGTAGAAAATACCCAAACTTAGGCCATTTTTACCGTTGACTTAGAGAATATATATATTGGAAACTACATGCCCGGGGATACTTATAGCCAATTTTCTGCAAGAATAGGAATTCCACTTTGGAATATCTTGCATCACATCATACTCTATGGCCGAGTTTATTCAAAATTGAACTCTGTATACAACCTCCATCACATTAAGCTCGTGCATTTACAAGCACCAATAACTTGTAAGTCTTAGGTTCTGATCCAACTGCAGCCAGGTTGCTTTGTCGTCCTTAATTCTCTCATTGTGTTCCTAAGATTAGCTGCTTCTTCCCACTGCCCTGCTGCAGCATAGATATTTGATAAAAGAACATAAACTGATGGGTTGTTATTCTCTCTTTCCAGCAGAAGTCCGGCAATTGTTCTTCCTAGTTTTAAATTACCATGAGCTGCACAAGCACTAAACATTGACCAGCACATATTAGAATGTGCTCCCAAGTATCCATCTTTAATAACTCTCTCTGCCTCATCAAGGTATCCACTGCGACCTAGCAAATCAACTACGCAAGAAAAATGATCCACACTCGGGAAAATTCCATAAACTTTCACCATTGTATCAAAAATACAGGCACCATCATCGACCAAACCTGCATGGCTGCAAGCAGAAAGAACTGAAGTAAAGGTAGCCTGGTCTGGTTTGATTCCAGGGGTGATTTGCATTTCCTCAAAACAAGACAGTGCGTCTTCACCTCGTCCATGTTGTGCATAAGCAGATATTATAGCATTCCAAGAGATTGTATCTCTTTCCACCATTGCATTAAATACTCGCAAAGCCCCGTCTAAAGATCCACATTTGGCATACATTGTGACCAGGGCATTACCCAAAGAAACTTGTGAATAAAAACCATGTCTTAGTATGTAACCATGAACCTGTTTCCCATGACTCATGGCTGACATGCTAGAACAAATGCTCAAAACAAGACTGAGGGAATGGGCATTTGGCTTGATTTGTGCACGAAGTAATGTTGAGAATTGATCTAACCCTTGCAACGGATGTCCATTCATCAAAAACCCAGATATGATACTGTTCCAAGATACCAAATTTTTATAGGTAACAGCAGAGAAGATTTGAAATGCACACTTTATCTTCCTGTGTCTGCAGTATGCAGAAACCAAGGCATTCAAAACTTCAATTTTAACAAGCCCACTTTTGCATAGAAGGGAGTGGATCATCTCCACAAGTTGCAAAGAATCTGTTGCAACTAACAAACTTCCATAAGTAAACTCGTCTGGTTCAATTCCTTCCCTCCTCATTTTCAAATAGCTCAAAATTGCTTCTTCCTCGAGATTCTCTTGTAAAAACGTTGACACCATTATGTTCCATGAAACAACATCCCTTTCTTCCATTCTCTCAAAAATATCTCGAACCTCATAAACCTCCCCAAACCCAGAATACATGGTCATCATTGCATTGTTCACATCAACACAACCAACAAGACCCATCTTGATAGCTTGAGCCTGTGCTTGACAACCAGCTCTTAAACACGAACAGGAACTCATGACACTCACAAAGGTAACCTCCGTTGGACCAAAGCAACCCTTCTGCATGTCTCTGAACATAAAAAATGCATCCTCATTTCTCTCCCCACTTACAAAACCATCTATCATTGCATTATACGTAACATAATCACACGTGCCAGCTTCTTCTGCTTCCTCAAACACCTCACAAGCATCCACAACACTCCCACACTTAAAATACATAGTGATCAAAGAATTAACCACAGAAGTCCAACCCAAAATACCACTTTTGATAACCACCGAATGCACGTGCCTTCCATAATCCAAAAGCTCCAAAGAGCACAAACTCAACATGGTGGCAAAAGTGTACTTATCAGCCTTGACACTCATCCTTTGCATGTCCCTGAAAAACAATATTTCCAGTCAAATAATATCACGGCATGGCTCATACATACACTTATTCCAATTTTAATGTTGAGAAAAATAAACTATTAAATTAAGAGGAATATTTTAATTTCTTTATATAAGGCAATAGGTATATTCCAAGTGAGAGGCAATCCTATCCAAGTCAGTAGGACTATATTATGCGCAACTGAACTCTTCCTCCAAGTATTTATATAGTTGCACACTAAGGGTTAAATTCGACTAACCAAGCTAGTTATGTGCAAGTTGATCCACACGTTTGGTGATAATTAAGAGGAATATTTGTTAACAGAACGGGTAAACTATAATCTGACACGGGTAAGAAAAAAGTAAAAAAAATTAGTTGTTAATGAGAAAATGAATTATTTATATTTCAACACATTCATGATTTATTAAGTATGTGCAGATAATATCTACTTTGAATTCTCTTATCAATAATATTATTTACAAACTGTTACTTGGAGGAGTTGAATCTAGCAAACAATGAACGCGATGCAATACCAATTGTTAATTACTTATGAAGTTTAATTTCTATGCATGTTTAGTACAAAATACACTCTCTGACGCACCTTCTACTATTGGCTGAAATTTTTTTTAAAATAACAAATTTTGGTAGGTTTCACATTATGAGTCTGTCTTCTGATAACATTGTTTAAAATAAATTCGAACAGGGGAAATCTTATCATATAATTAAATAAATATTTTAAGTTGTAAAAAATTAAAGTGTAAATAAAAAAGTATAGAAATGTAAGTTCTTATAAAACTGCACAATTAGAGCGAAATTTATGAAAATATTATGTAAAATGCTTAAAAATAACGTGAATTATAAGAACATTAAAAAAGGAGAAATAAGAACTCAGTTAGTTTCTCATAAGACTCTCGCTGTAGTTAGTTCCAAATTCAACTTTGATCACCTGAACAAGTTAAAAGCAAGACCTTCATGACTCTTGTCCGCGCACCCGGTTATGAGGGCGTTCCAGACAGCCACGTGGCGCTTGGGAATTTGATCGAACAGTTGAAGGGCGTGGGTAACAGGGGCCAGTTTGGCGCAGGCGGAGAGCAGCGTGGTCCACGAATACACGTCCGGTAAACGGATTTCGGCGAACGCGCGTTCTACGGAGGCGAGGTCGCAGGCCTTGGCGTAGAGCGAGAGAAGGGAGTTGGCGACGTGGGAGTGGGCTCGGAGGCCGGTTCGGACTGCGTGAGCATGGAGCTGGGTGCCGAAGGCGACATGGCGGCCGTTTGCAGCGGCAGTGAGGGCGGTGGAGAGGGTGTAGTGGTCGGGTGTGAAGGAGGAGTGGGCGAGGGCGAAGAGGGTGAGGGATTGGGTGTGGTGGTCGGAGCGAGTGAGGTCTGCAAGCATGTGGTTGAGCTTTAGGAGGCGCTGGTTGGAATAGCAAAACTTCATTTCTCATTTCTAATACCTGCTTAGTGCAGTGGCTTGTTTAGGAGCGGAGATACTCATGAAGAAGAAAAGAGAGTGCAGCAGTACAAAGTTATAATTTATATTTATTCATTATTTATTATTTATTAAAAGAGAGTGCAGTGGCTTGTTTAGGAGCGCAGATATTCATTACTTACTATTTTTGTAAAAAAAATATTTAACATTATTATAATTTTAAATAATTATTTTATATTTGTTAATTTTAATATCGAATTTAAAAATAAATATTTTACTGTGTTTTTATTAAAATTTAATATATTATGTTTAATCAAAATAATAAATGGGAACCGGAGAAAAAAAAACAAAAGATCATGAATAAAAATGAGAAAAATAAAGAGTGAGTAAAGAAAAATTACAAATTTAAAAACATAGAATAAAAAAAATTATATATATAATAGATTTAATTAAATAAATTAATTCATATAAAAAAATATAGGAGATGAACACACCTATATTTTCTTCAAAATAATTTAGAATAACACGTTTAACGTCCATTTAGAACATATTTTAAAAAAATCCAATAATTTGAATATAAACATTTAAAAGCATATGTTTAATCATAATATTTTCTTATTTACTACATCATTTAGTTACTAACTTGGTTTTAATCCTTACAATTATGTGATTCTTATGAAGTTTATTTGTTAAAACACATCTAATTCCAAAAATTAATTTGAATTATTAGGGAATTGAATAATCCTAAATTTAAATATATTACATAACACTCACCCAATGCTCTAAACATGCGTCAGAATTAATACAAATATAACAAACAATTATTATTATTAATAGTGAAATACAATAACACACTTATATTATATTTTTTAATATTTAGATTATTACTTAAAAAATAATTGAATAAAACAGTTAAGAGATGTTAATATATAGTAGTAATTTAGTTAATAATACTTGTCACATTTTTTGGTCGGGGAAATTTACTACTATTTCATTTATAGATTTTTTTTCTGAAACAGAAAGTTTTTATTTACATTTTAAAACAGATAATTTAAAAGATTATAAAATTTGAACAATATAATTATTGTATAATATAAAATCAAAATCGGTATAAGATTTAATGATTTGATGAATTGGTTCAACCAAAATATAAACCTGTTATGAGAATCTTAATTATCATAATATATAGATAGATTGTGAGAGTGGGATTATTCTTTAATTTATATTATTATTTTATTATTTTATTTTTTATTTTTTAAATTTTAAATCAAATTGATTTTTTTTATCTAATTCATCTTGGAGAATATAATAAAATACCTGGACACTTTGATTAATATATTGCATATAAAAAAAATTGTCACATATATTATTAATACAAAGAAGGAAAGTTTGAATGTCAATTTCAAAGATTAGCTACTAGAAGAAAAAAATGAAATTCAAGAAAATGATTAATGTATTATATAAAATAGAAACTCATATAAAATTTAATAATTCCATTAATTTATTCAATAAAAATATATATTTATTATAATAATCTTAATTATACCACAATTATATCATTGTGTATCTCTTTAGAATAATAAATAATAATTAAATCTACCAACATTAAAAAAAAATTTATAAGAAAGAATGAATAGTATGACATTTACTTATATTGCAAAATATTATTTTATGATGAATAATAATTGAATTATTGATTATTATGATATAAATTTACAGTAAATTATCATAAAATTGTGATAATAAAATAAAGCACCATAATTATATCCATACAATTTAATAATATAAATCAGAAATAATCATTATATGTAATTATTAAAATATTAAATTATTTTTATTTTATCTTCTAAATTTCTTTATTATTTTTTTAATTTGATTAAAAACATTTTAAAAATATAAACGAAATGAACTTTCTTCAAATTTATTTTAAATTGCAATCTATACTATCTAGAAATATCTGATAATAAATGAGATTTACAGACTATATTTAAATATTAATATATTATCTTTTAACTAAATTATATATTTATTCTATCCCAACAATAAAATAATTTGCTTAATTGTAATTTTATCTATATTTTACAAATTTCGTTATTTTTGGTTCCTATTACTTTTTTTTCACAGTTCTAGTTAGCTTTTATTATCTGAAAGTTTGAATCATATATATATACCGATTTTAATCTCTTAACTTTATTATCCATAATTTTATTTATTTTTCAATTATAGAATATATTATAGACAATTAAATTAAATTTTGAATAAAGTTACATACAGTTAAATATTAAAAGATTAAAATTGAGTAAAACAAAATTTAGAAGTCAAAATTATGATAATAAAAAATCGATAAACTAAAATTGAAAAAAATAAAAAAATCTTAATACTAAAATCACAATTAGTTGAAATATTTCGAATATGAAAACTAATTATTATACATTATACGATATATTTTTGTTATTTACAATAAAATATAGATTTTACATATATTGTAAATGAAACAGGTTACTTGAATTATTTTTCATCTAAGATCTTAAAATAAAATTCAATTGATATAATATTTAATTTTATATATTATTGATTTGGTTGGATTAAAATGCATATTGCATGCAAAACTTAAGGAACAAGTCGATGGCAAAACCGTAGTTATGAAGTAATAAAGGGGTGGTTTGTTACTACCACCGACTTAGCGAAAAGATAATGAGAGGTTAGCTTATAAAAAGGTTTTAAAAACACCAACGTTTTGTATATGATGCGACATTGGACCCAACCTAACCCATTCTCTCCTCTCTTTTCTCTCTCTTTAGCGGCGTTTAACATTGTACTTTCCTGTTCCCTGCTCTTCCTCCATTCCAATTATTTAATTATTTAATTAAAAACTAAGAATATTATATTTTCACACTCTTCCTTCGTCCGTTATAAAGGTCGCAATTATTTCTCTTTATTTTCTCTCTCTTTCTTCTGATATTTCACCTATTTCTCTTCTCTCAGCGGTTGCCTGATCACGCTGTCAGCACCCGTGAAACCGAGCACGCAGGTCAGGAGTTTGTTTAGTGCGCTTTTGTTTCTGCTTCATCACTTTTTTTGTTTGAATTTCTTCTGGGTATGTTTTTTTTCTTAGTGGGGTTGTTGATTGCGGATGATGGGGTGTTTAAAGTTTGAATTTTTCTGACAGTGGTTTGTGGGGTTGTTTCGTTTCTGGAATTATTGGTGTGGGTTAGTTTGTGGGGTTGTTGGGTTTTTGTTTGCATGATTGACTTGGTAGTGTAGTGGTTTTAGTTGATGCATTGGTGGGGATTTGGAACTCAGGGTTCTAGAGGGTTCTTGTTGTTTCTTTCTCGTTTTCAATTAATTTGAAATTATAATGTTTTTCAAACCAAAAGGTTAGAGTAGTTGTTGTTTTTTGTTACAAGGGCACACCCGAATTTGTAAAAAGTAGAGAGTTGTGACCAAACGAGAATAATACTGTTGGTCCCTCTTCTTCATAGTTGAGATTGACACGAATTGCTGACATGGTGATATCTGTGTTGTTACGATCTTGATATTGAATATTGTTATTGATGTAATCCTTGTGTTTGTTTGGTGTCTTGCATCTGTATTGATGTTCTATATTAGATTTTATTTATGTATTGTATCTTTTGTGAGGAAATAGGTTTTTCTGTGTGTAAATATTTTTCGGAGAGACTGAGTCGTTATGTTTGCAGGTTGTCATAAAACAATGGAGTCTCACGATGAAACAGGATGCCAGGCTCCAGAAAGGCCCATTCTTTGCATTAACAATTGTGGCTTCTTTGGAAGGGCTGCCACCATGAATATGTGCTCCAAATGTTACAAGGACATGCTGTTGAAGCAGGAACAAGACAAACTTGCAGCAGTGTCGGTTGAAAACATTGTGAATGGCGGTTCTGGCTGCAGCGGGAAACAGGCTGTGACTGCAGGTTTGGTGGATGTACAAGTTGGAAATGTGGAGACAAAGACAGTCTCTGCTGAGATTTCTGGGGATTCATCATCTGGTCAGAATGTGGAGTTGAAAGCTAAGACAGGTCCCAGCAGATGTGCTACGTGCCGGAAGCGTGTTGGATTAACAGGTTTCAGCTGCAAATGTGGGAACCTCTTTTGTGCAATGCACCGCTATTCTGACAAACACGATTGCCCCTTTGATTATCAGAGTGTTGGCCGTGAGGCTATAGCTAAAGCCAACCCCACAATTAAGGCTGATAAGCTTGATAAAATCTAGGGATGCACTAGACTGGTTGATATATGAAGTTGGATCTCACCTCTATCGGCAAATTCACATATTTTTGCTGTCTAGTTTTTGAAGTGGCCTTTTAGTCTCTATACTGATCCATGTCATGATAGCAGCAAGCACATGTTTGAGGAAAACCCTCATTCCTTGTTGATTGATTGGTGAGGATTCACTTTTTAGCTACAATATGAGTATTTATGCTGGTTTGATGGACATCTTTGGCTCATGTGTAATTTGATATCCTGGTTGCTCTGCATTTTTTTCTCATTGCTTTAATGGTTTTTCCTCTTTGTATGTGCTTTTACTTTAAACATTAATAAATTAATGACTTTGATGGAAACTGATAATACTGAAAACAGATAGAACTAAAGCAGGAAGTCTCCTCCATAGGGGAGATATACTGCTCAAGAAACAGAAACACAGATATCCTCTCCACTTCTCCCCACCCTGGCTCTGTTCACATATCCTTTCCTGTCTCTCATTGTTGCACATATGTAACTCTAATTCCTGGCTATTACGTTTCTCACCAATGTCTCCTTCGTTGCCTTGGTGGTGGTGATATGTGAGCATAGAGTACGAGACAGGCTGAACTCTGTCCCATTTTAGTAGTGAAGTGCATTGCCATTGTCATCATTCTCTGTTGTTTCGCAAGTTCCTCTATGTTCCTTGTAGGTTGAAGTCTGTTAACTACTTATAGAAAAATGCTCAAACATAATTTCTTATTGTTCAATTTAGTTTAAACCCAGACCACCAAGAAGCACATAAGGTTTTTAGACCAGGGGTTCACTGTCCTTGTTCATGTTATGAAAATTAGCTCTTGTCTATGTGATTCTGGTTTAGGGATGATATTTAGAATTTTTAATAGGCTTTGCTCTTAAATATAAAATTTTAGCACTCAAACAAACTAAACATTTAGCAGGTGGCTTTTCTGATTTGCATTAGAGGTTTCTGATGTCTAATTTTGTTTCTAGTATACTGTCAGAAACTACTCTGGTGCTATTTTTGGACAGTAATGGGGATTGGAATCTGCATGGCCTTGGTAATATTTACAATTCTGATTTCATTTTGGGGTTTGTCTTGTCACCAAGGTAGCTGCTGATCCTTTAAGGTGTGAAGAAGATGGTTTTAGTGTCCATCATTTTCTTGTTTTTCTTATCACTTCCTTTGCCACTACCATTTTCATATTTGTTTTTGTTCCCATTCACTTCACATTTGAGGATAAGCCATGCTCCACTTCAATCATTTTTTAAGTGCAAATTGAAAGTCTTTAATGCGAAGCAAAACATTGCAACAACTTTTCTTGTTTTGTATAGCTATTTTTAAGTTCAGTAGTTGTTCCTGTAATAGTTAAAGTTTAAAATTACAACTCAAATCATTACTCAACAATTGAGAATTCAAACATGTTTAGGGTTCAAATGTACTCTCGGAATGTGTACCTGGTCAAATATACTTTATAAGCTCGATAGGGATATTGAATCTGTTTTGGGTAAATTTTTTATGAGCATTTTTAAGAGATGAAAATAAGAAGAATAATTTAAAATAAATGTATACATAAATTAAATTTTTTATTTAAGAGAAGGTAACAAAGAATTCTTATTAAGTTGATTTTTAATTTATAAATAAAATATTCATTTTTCTTATTATTTTCTTTTTCAAACCGAATAAATTATAGATAAGTTGATTCACATATTTATTACTTTTTAAATTTTAGTCCAAAATATATAGTTAAATTTCTAAAACAGTTTTAATACTATGTTGATTACTCGAGTCTTTAACTTAAAAAAACGTTTTGAAATTGTTATTTCTATATTTTGTAAAACCCGTAATTTTAGTCTTTGAATTTTGTTTTCTGTAACTTCAGTCCTTTAATTATCTGTAATTTTAATTCTTATTTTTTTACGAATTTTAATTTCTTAATTTTTAAAAGATTGAATTAAATATATATTTAATTTTTTAGAAAAATAAATCTTTAAAAATTTAGTAGATGAATTTAAAATATGTTTAAATAAACTTTTTAATGAGATTTTAGAAAAAGAAAAAAAAACTTGTGTACAAATTAATTTATAAAAACCTTTAATATTTTTTATATGAATTTAATGATCATACATATTTTTAAAAGTGTGTATATATATATATATATATATATATATATATATATATATATATATATATATATGTATAGTTTTAATATTAAAAGAATATTTTAATTTTGGAGATACTTTAAATATATTAAAATAAAACATATTATAGTTATTAAAACCAATATAACATTATGTGTAAATGTATGAATATAATCCATATTTTAACCCCAGTTAATTATTTTAAATTTGTTTGACTAAATTTAATATTGGTGGTCTAAGTAGAAATTTAATTTATAATTGCTTTAAATTTTTTATTTGTGACTTTATAAATTTAATTTTAGTAATATTATGTTATATATAATTTTTTTAAAAAGTAAAATATAGTAAAATAGAGAGAAAATCGAAATATATTTTTTAATATCTTTTAAACAGCAGTTAATAAAAGTTTATTCAATTGATAAATCAAATTCATATCTCACAAGATTTTTTTTTTTACACACACGATAATGTTATTAGGATATAATCTTATGGTAAAAAAATGTGTCTCCATAATTGTTAATTAAATCCTATAAACCTATTCTAAACATGCTCAATTTGTAAGACTTAACTCACTTATTATATTTTAACTTATTTTTCTCATAGAAGTCTTATAATTTCATATATATATATATATATATATATATACCATTTATTTATAACAAGTTATTATAAGGTAAAAAATTAATTCAAATAATTAAATTAAAAACATAATTCAAATAAACATTAGAATACATAAATATTTTACTAATTGTGAAAACATATAATATATGCCCGTCTAGCTCAGTTGGTAGAGCGCAAGGCTCTTAACCTTGTGGTCGTGGGTTCGAGGCCCACGGTGGGCGTTTTTTATTTTTACTTTTAGTTTTTTATAACTGTCTCCTTCATAATATCCATAATTGCAGTTATTTCCTTACGGTTATATTAAATGATATTAATCATATTTTAAATAATGATTATTGAACTTATATTAAGTTCTTATAGTTTCTTCTTTGATATGTAAAAAAATTAATAAAGAATTTTTTCTGGGTATTATATGTTTTATCTCTCACTTATATTATATAGATATACGAGAAAAAAATGTTAGTTTTTTTAAATTATACATCTCTCATTTTTAAAAATAAATATATAATTAACTTTGTAATTATACCGTTACTTAATTTTAATCTGTTTATATATAATATTTTGAAATGATTTGTGTTAATTTTTTTTATCAAAAGAATCAATACAATATTTTCCTCTATTTCTGACCTTTTATTTTTCTTCTTCAGAATTCCTTTCTATATACGTAGGTTTAAGCGTAATGGAGATTTGAAAATGAAAGTTGATGATTATTTTTTTTAATTTAGTGCATTATGATTTTTATAAATTAAGAATTAGAGAAAAGTTGTAAATAATTTTTGGGAGGATAAAATAAATATAAAGTTGTCATGTTGACTTTTTACATGTAAAAAAATTATTCTATAGTGAGAATACAAGTAATAATCTTGTTTTTGTTAAGGTTGGAAGTAATGAAATTCAAACTCCTCTCCATGTAAGTTTACCTCACTTATATATGCAACCCTCTTCAAAAGAGTTTTAATACCAATCTTCTAAGATCAAGTTGAAACTTGTTTCCATAACAAGTTCCATTTTCATCATATTTGTAATCTTTGGAACCCTAAGCTACACATAAACCCTAGTTCTAGAAAGTGTTTAAGCATGGAATGATTTTTTTAGAATAATATTGAAATCTCACGAATGAACATTCCATCTATAAAGCCAAGGGTGTATTGATATAACAATAGTAACCACATCCATGCAAACCTAATAAAACCAATTTGGTGGTGTTTTAAAATGTGATTTCAACACCTTGATAAGATAAATGGGATAAGGGAAAAAGAAAGCTGCAAAGTAGGTCTAAAACATAATGTATCCAAAACATAATTAATTTAAAACCAAATCTGAAAGGGTTCTTTCAGTCATTTAGTAGTTTCCTAATCATCCATGTCGTCGAGATTCAGATACTCGCTTATGTCGAAATCGTTGTCAACAACCATGTCCTCCTCATCTTCGGAATGGGTGTTGTTGTCAAGCTCATGTTGGAGAGGTTCATACCTATGAACAAATGCTTCAAATTGTTGAACGTTAGGAGAACCTGACCCAAATGAAGCAACACTGCCATTTTCTGCTCCTGCTGGATTCTCACTACTCATTGAGGACTCCCTATTTAGGGCACTGCCTAAGGCATTGGCATGCTCCTCAACTGGTGCATCGCCAAAAGCACATGGCCAAAGAGGGAAACTTAGGTCAACATCTGACCATGGATACTCATCATCACACAGAATTTTGTTCTCTTCAGCATTATTCTCATCTCCGTTTTCTAAAGCTGTTGGTGCTTCAGATTGTTGACCACTCTCATCTAACATTGGTGGCATTGTGGTGGTGGATTCAGGGTTTGACAATGCATCACCAACTACATTGTTTTCTTCCACTTCAGCTGAAGCTCCTCCACCTTCAGAACTGACATGCACATATATACAAGCATGCAACATCATACTTTGAAAAATGAAGTCAACATAAAAGATATTTGAAATGCTAATGCAATAACACATTAACATGTGAAACAGTTCAAGATCTAAAATTAAAGGAGGAGCAAATGAAGACACTGTAATGTCCAAACCTGGAGACGTTACTTCCATCCGTCACAGTAGTTGAAGGGTCCTTGCTTTGCCTGAAAATAGTTCAGATTCAATGCAAATCATCAATAGTTTATCCCCTTGTACACAATAATTATTACCAATTGTTCAAACAATTTATTTATGATAATTTTCTTTCATAACCATGAATAATTTTGCTCAAAATATGTATTTGTCTCTATACTTTTCTTTTAAATTTATCTTTGGTATTTACACATTCAAATTAACATATTTATTTATCTTAAAATTGAAAATATATAATTTTAATATTTTTCATAATAAGGAAAAAATCTAATCAAATAAATTATTATATTATATTTAGATTTTTTTTTCGTAAATACTTATAGTTCTTGAATAAGCTAAATCAATTTAGGAACTTAATCTCTGCTAGATTTTTTCCTTCAAGTTTTTTAAAAGTCACAATACATGTATTTATTTTATTTATGAAAAGGTTCAACATATCTTATCAACTTATTTTCTTTCTATATATAAAAACACACTGAAATTTGTACCTAAACATATATATATAGCATTGGTATGTGTTTGGTTTAATTTATTTTAAAAAAAAATAATTACATTTTTTTTACTATATTTTCTTAAGAGCATGTGAATAAAATAAATAAATTAAAAATTAATCTTAAACAAACACGCACTAAATACAAGTAGGACAATTTGAGCATATATATTAAAGAATTGTGAATTATAATTGCAAACGTACCTTCTGAGTTCAAGAATATATTCTCTTAGACTCCATTTTTCCATTTCTGAGATTTCCTTCAAATAGAAAGTCATCTACGAGTCGTAGTGTAATTATGAGATGGAGTTAATTAAACTACTATAATTGAATCAATAATCCAAAGTAAATGTTGTTCAATTAAGAAGCATAAATTCAATATACACAATGACATACTGGAAAATTTGTGTATGCAAACTTGCCCCATATCTTAATGGCAATCAAATCGTGAGCTCTTGCTGCTTCAAGTTCATTCTTGAATCCACCTGCATACTCCAAATCATATGCTTATACTAATTAAGTAAGATTAATTGTACCAAATTACTCCAATAATTTATATATATATATATTAAGCTCTTTTAATTCACTTAAACTTAAGAACAAAAATATAATTTCAAAACATCTGAAAAATGATACTACGATGCAGAATCAAGATCAAGTCTTTTACACACTCTTACCTCTCTTCTAAACTTTTTTTTTTTTTCTAACTCTTGTTTCAATCAAATTCATAAAATGAAATATTCAAAACCAAACACAAAAGAATAATTTTTTTTACTTACCAATATAAACTGCGTAAGTTGGAAAAGATCCGAGTGTACAAAATAGAACAAAATCATTAGTAACATTTTGGGGACAAAAAAAATGAAGAAGTGAAAAGCTACATATTAATTTCAACCTGTTTTTCCTCTCTTTCCAGTTGTTTTGAGGTCCTTATCCCACACAAAGGATTCGAAACGTCCCTTACACCTATGCCAAAATGAATTATATGATATACATTACATATCATGCAAAAAAAAATGTAAAAATTGTAACTTTAGCGTAAAATAACTTTGTGTATGTATGAAAGAAGAAACATATATATACTTTGTCACTCCTCGATAAATTGAGCTTGTTTTCTTGAAATTCCGTTTACGATATCGTTTTTGCTTAACTTGTTCTCTTATTCCGAAATCAATTTCTTCTGAGCCAACCACGCTGCTAAAAGTTAAGAGAAATTAAAAAAAAAAAAAAAAAAAGAGTTAATAAAATAAATAATAATAAAAAATAAAACATTTGAATTGAAGAATGCTAAAGTTGCCTAAGACACCAACCTGGTTTCTTCTGGTGCTTTCTCCATTGGTGTTGAGTGTGAAGGAAATTGGGTTCCTTGAACATGTTTTGGGTCTGGACTCGGAACTTGATGCTGTGTGGAATTGGGGGTTCCAAAATCATAGAACAAGGTTCGAGAAGTTTTCGCACGTGTAGGGTAACGTGGCTCTGAACTTTGGGTGGTGATGTTCGAGGGTTCCATTGTTGGTTTGAATTTGAGGGAGAAAGTGTTTGTTGAATGGAACAGAAATTGTTTTAGATCTGCGTTTGTTTGATTGAGCACATGAGTTGAACCAAAATACACACAATGTTTGATTACGGTTACATATCTTCTCTCCATACATGGTATGCTGGACTTGACATTTTTTTTGTCCTTTTATCAACTCTCAACTCTTACCAATTAAACGTTATTCTTGTATTTTAATAATTATCTTTCTGCATAAATTTTAATGTAACTTTACTACTTCATTAATATTTAAGAAGAGAGAGATAGAAATCAAAATTCAAATTCACTCTTTCGATATAATAAACAATTCTTTTTTAATAAAGGTATACGTGTCACAAAAAATAAAACATCACTGTATAAATTATATTACTTAAAATTAAATATAAAATTAATGAGAAGATAAGGATAAACCCTCATCGTTAAGTTAAATAAATTTTCATTTTTATAACTCTTATCCATTTATAATATATAATAAAATTTATATTTATATTTATATTCGAAATCGCGATACTAGTAGTGGTTGCTTTCGCAAACAAATAATTCATATTAATATTCATTATAGTTTAAAAACATAAAAGGAATGTTTAAATAATGATGATGAAGTTTTGTAAAATATATTATTCTATACGTACATTTATCTTCTTTATTTGTTTAAAAATATTATTTTAAATTACACTAACGTTTTAACTGTTTGAAAAATATTATTGTGTATAACCCCACAAGGAAAGTTACGGTAATTGTTAAAAAAAATATTTCTATAATTTCACTAAATTTGAGGAATAATAAGTGCAATTTTTTAGAAAAGTTCACATAATGTAAAATTGAATATGTTTTCTGTTTTTATAACCTTTTTAATTAGTTTAAAAAGTTCCATATTTTCTATGAAAATTCATAACGAGTATTTTCAATAAATATATTACATTACTTTATTGTTAATTAGTTTTATACACTATTTAATTTAGATGAAAATATTGTATCAATTAAGGATATAATAAACATAAAATATATAGATGAGATACACATTTTATCTTATAAGTGGATTTTATAGGTTCAGATAAATATCTCTTTATTTTTTATATATAATATGAAAGTTAATCCTAATCAAATTTATTGACCTAATTATCAAATTATTAACTTAATATATAATTATTATAAAAATTTTATCATCTTATAAATCAGTTTATTTATTTAATATATATAATTAATATAAAAAATTTATCATATTATATATTGATTTAATTAAGTTTGATATTTTTTTCATTTTATGTTTTAGAAAAATGATTATATATATATATATATATATATATATATATATAAGACTTTTTCATTTTATTTTTATTTACTAAGTGCGTTTTTTAGTCAAAAGCTAAAATGAATTCGAAATATAATTCAAATCCACAGCTACTTGTTTTTTATAAAAATTAACTGCTTCTTTCAAGAAATAATTTTTAGGATTCAAAAAAATATAATATATTTTATACTACTTTTAAAATTTATAAATACAAGTACGATGTTTTTCTTTTTAAATTAGAATGACTATTTTTAATATGTACGTAGTTTTTAGAGATGTGAAAGAGAATAAATTAAATTATATATTTATTTACAATTATAAAATATAATTTTAAAAAATAAGCAGGTGATTTTATGATAAGCTATTCAAAATAAATGATGATTTTAATAAGAATTTTTTTCTTCTAATTATTTATTTTGAAATTCAATATAAATATATTAAAATTATTACAAATTTATTATTTAAAAAATAATAACTATTCGGTATAGAAAAGTGTAACCAGAGCCAATAATTTATTAATGAACAAATGGCATGTTTAATTAACATTATTGGATATTTAATATTAATTATCATTAGATGTTTAAAATAATTATCAATATTAAATACATGAATAAAAAAAATTATCATAATTAAATATTTAATTTCTTTTAGTAAAATGCATATACACTACATACTTATTTGAGCATTGTTGGCTGTTTTTAGGAATATTAACTTATTTTCTAATTCTAACTCCTCATATATAATTATAATTTCTGATGGGAGTGTTAATGACGATTTATTAACGTTAAATATTGTACTCTTAAATTATTTTAATACGAGTACACGTTACTAATACATTACTTAAAAATAAAAAAGTAAAATGAAAACTTAAGAAAAACTGAAGTTAATAATGAAAATAAAAAATTACTCAAATAGATTAAATTATTAAGAAGAAAACTAATTATACTTCTCCGGTCTTACAATAATAACTATAATTTTATTCATTTAAAAAAAAAATCAAACTAATTGATGTTCTCACGTTTTATAAAATATTAATATTTTCTTTCTAAATTGTATTCTTTTTCTATATCAATCAAATTCATTTAAAAATAAACTATATTATCAAAATAAATTTGAAATTTATTATAGTTTTTAATATGTGTAAAAAATCATTAAAATGTATTTAATATCAGAAGGAAACATTAAACAAATATTTTAACAATTTAGTAATATTTTTCATTCAATGAAACTTAAATCTATATTTCATCACAAAACTCACGAAATTAAGCTAAAATTCAATTAAACAAACCATGCGTAGTGGACTTAATTGTTAATTAGTATCTAAATATGCTTGTATTGATTATAAATGGAATATATTTAACATTAATATTATTTTTTAAAAATTACGTGGATAGATTTTACATTCTTTTTTGTATTTTCCATATTTTTCAAATTTAACATTTGTTAAAACTCTCTTTCAAAAAAAAAAATGAATGATCTAAAAACATAAGAGTTGTATAATTTAAAGTTCTAAAGAATATATGTTTAACACATACTTGTTAATTTAAGTAAAAGAAATGATAAATTTAAAATATTGACAGTTCAAAAAGGTGAAATATATCCACATTAATATAATTTTTTTAAAATATTAAATTTATAAAATAGTTTTCACTTATTTAAAAAATTCCTGTATATGCATATTTTGCATTCTGCCAACTAAGAAGAGTTAGAAAAATAATTAATGTTTCCGTGGAATATTTGTAACTCATCTTGATAAAATAAATGTTCTGACAGCACATGTATTTTCAATTAATTTGTAACTCATCTTGAAATAAATGGAATATTTAATAAAGATAATTAAATTTTCATTTGTATGTACATCACAATTGCTCTGCATCTTATGATTACCATTTTTATTTCTTAATATAGTTTTTACGTTTAATATTTTTTTTTTCGTGAGTTTATATTATATTTTATCTAGCTTTTATGTTTAATAATTATTTTTTATGTTTTTTTTTTAATTTTTATATTTATTATTCTTTTTACTATCCGAACTAGGGTTGTGTTGGGGAGAGTGTGAAATGATGATACATATATGAGATTAATTCTCATGAATGGAGTAATATAAATATTTATTTGGAAATTTAAATTTTTAACTTTTTCTAAACTTAAAATTGAGAATTATTTTAAAGAGAGTGTTTTGATTTTATCTAATAATGAAAAGACACTTGGTTCATCTAGGAATATTACGAATTGAATATTCCGGTCTCATTTAGAACAAGAATATTTTGGTCTCAGTTATCATAACATTGTAAAAGTCAATTTTAATGTTTTATGTATTGTCTATTTTTTAATTTTCGTCCATCATGATTGTTTTTAAAATGTACATCGTAGATTAAGAAAGAAGAATATATATAAACTATCATTAACCTTAAATAAAAAATTATATTATGATATTCTTGTAAGTTTCCTATTGTTTAAGAATCGATGTCAATGATAATTTATATATATTTTTCTCTCTTAATTCACTGAAAACCTTTTTTAAGGAGAAATCATAATAGACAAGAGGTTCAAAGTAGACATGTGAATTAATTCTAACAATCTTATCATCATGGATATGAATATGAGACATTATTCCTAAATGAAACTATAATTTATTTGGTTTTCATGTTTAATAATTATTTGTTAGTTAAAAATTCAAATATGAATTAAAATCTCGTATTAGATAGAAATGACAAAATTAAGTAAAAGTAAAAAAAACTCATAATTTAATGTCTTATTATTTTTAATTAAAGATGATGTTATATATTATTTAGTTCTTATCTTATATATGAATTTTCCTATAATTAACCTCTTAAAAATATCTAACAAAATTTAAATATGAAAACTTAATGGAAAAAACTTTGATTTTTAACTTAAAATTAAAAAGTATCCCGTTTACGAATATAGGTGATTCGAATTTATGTTTAACCTTAAACTCAATTTTCATATTCATATAATTGTTTAATTTTAAGTTTTATTCTATATTTTATTCTTATAAAATACTTCAATGGATTTAAAGAGTAGATAAGTTGCATATAAATTAACGTTTACTTTGATTTCTAAAGGATGAGTTTTAAATTATGTGAGAACGTAGAAAAAACTATTATTATTTGATATTTTATTACATTCTTATATTTTATTATATTCTCAAATTTTTATTTTATTTTAGTTTTAATTAAATAAGTTAAGGGGTTTTGAGGTGCTTCACGATAAAGTAGCCATTGGCATGTGAAAATATTAAAAAACTCACTCTAACATATAAATAATAACTCTTATTTTAAAATGTTGCAATTAATATTTAAAAACACAATTAATAATAAGAATAACTTACATCATAAAAAATAATAATTATTCAGATTTATTTGATTTAGTTTTTTTAAAATAGTTTTAGAAAATAATTAAAAAAAAGCATTTGTTTGAATATATTGAAATTTTTTATTTAATAATTCTATGAAAAAATAATATAAATGATGATGAAAAGTTAATTAAAAGTTAAAAAATAATTTTGGTACAGATGAATGATTAATATAATTATTAATAAAAACGTAAATATGATTAATAAAAATAAAAATATCTTCATTTTGTTTGTTTTTAAAATTTTTATTTTAAAAAACATTTTTTAAAAAACATTTTGATAAAATAGTTATTCAATGAGTAATTTAATTTTTAAAACTGTTTTTTTAAATAAGAAACAAATAAACCCTCGAAAATGATGTTAGAGAGGGAAAAAACTAGGATAAATTATTCTGTAAACTGATAATCACAATTTTTCTTCCTTATAAAAATATTTTATCGTAATAAATCAATTACTCATCTAATTAAAAAATTAAATACTTATAATTTAATTTTTTATATTTAATAATTTAATTTAATTATATTTATGGTAAATAAAGATAATCAGTTAAATTAAATAAATTTATTAAAAAATTATATCACAAATCATATAATAACAATTATATTTATAATATCTTAAATTTATCATTTAATATTCTTTTAAATATAATATATTAAATTATAATATTTATAAATAATTTAAGTATTTTTTATTTTTTAAAAATAATTATAATATAATATTTTTAATTAGAAGAATGAGATGTAATAAGAAAAAAACACAAAAAATAAATAATAATAATAATAAAATTATATTATATCATATAAATTAATTTTTTATTATTAAATTTTGTATGTGAACAAATTTATGAAAATATTATTTAAATATCTATTTTTTAAAAATATGTTATTAATTTGTAACGTATCTTGGCGTGTCGACCAATAAGTGGGTTGAACCACGTGATACAGCTCACCAGATCTTTTATTTTGCATCCCTCACTAATAATATTATCTTTCTGAATTCCCTTAAAATGAGATAAAATTAATAACATATAAAAAGTAGTATATATTAATATTAAAATATTAGTATGCTTAACAATACTAAACAATCAAGTTAAAATATGTAAAGTTTTAAACATATAACTTTTTTTTATACATAAATAATTTTATAAAGTAACAAGTAACATAAATTAAAAACCAAAGGACAACTAGTAATATTTTTTAAGATAAGATGTCTTCAATTAAACACATAATTGATTATTTTTGTTCTTAATTTTAATGTAGTGATATTAATGTAAAGCTAAATATTTTAATAATATTGAATATAAATATATAATTGAAATAAACCCACGGATTTAAAAATCTATTTTATAGCTAAAATATAAACTTTTCACCACAACAATCAAAATAGATGTAGTTTCATGCAGAAACATGTCACTGTGTAAACACTATCCATCAGAACCACCCAATGCAGAAGGAATATAAGGTCTCAGTAACTGTCTGCAATACTCAACACAGAGGAATATGTTCCAAGGAGTGCACAAATGATTCCGAATGCAGCAATGCCCACACTCAGTACCATCTGAAAGGAAAAAGAATAGTTGAGTAAAATATAAGGATCAGGAAAACTAATTGATAGATAATTTTACATTATTGTCCTATAATAATTGTCATAATCTTTTATGTGGTGTTTGGTACAAAATATGCAGTTAGCAGTTTGTGGAAAAAAAAGAGAAAACAAGGCTTCAAAATTTCAAAAGGAATACAGATGGGCTAGGTTAGGGTGGTTTCTGTGATGAATATGACAGGAAGATATTAGAATACCTTGTGACCAAATGATGCATGAAGTGTTAACTATCATTGTCTTGAATGTAATTCAGCTTCTGATCATAGAAATTATTGCATGTAAAATGGAAATAAAGCAAATTTTATTTGCTAAATATGGCCCAGTATTGTTGAATATAGTCACAATGGCTAACATTAAGTCTGAAAATATGGCCCAGTATGTAAAATTGGTTTACAAGAAATATTCTATGTTCACTATTTTCTGAGATGAAAAGAAAAATACAAGATCAGTGGTACTGTTACCTGTATCTTTGTAGCTTTTTTCCCAATAATTTTCAGGAAGCATAAAGATGGCATTATCGCTGACTGAAAGAAACAGCATTTTTTTTTTAAATTAGATAGAAGTTTCATTCAAATTCCTTGTATGAACTGAATGAACAACAGTAAGGTAAAGTACAAAGACACAGAGAAAGAGAGAGTCAATGCATTTCTTACCACAAGTATACTAAAGAGGGAACCAATTAAAGCCATCACAAGCCCTGAAATTATAATAAAGTTATCATTAGTTTTGAAATTAAATGCAGTATCATATATCATTTTTTAATCTAATCCAAACTCACCATGAATGACTTGCATGAAGAATTATTTTTGACAGAATACAGTAGTGTCGTTTAATCCACATACCCAGTAAGAAAAGCTTCTGATTGTTGTTTAACAAAGTTTACTGTTTTGGTTTCAAATATGTGAAAACCAAACATCATCTCAGATTTTTCTTTTAATTGTGGTTGAGAAACAAAATATAACAAAAACAGAAAGGGTGAAAAGTTATAAGTAATGGATAGAAATCTAGAAAAGTTATATCATTTTCTTAAGTGGCCACAACTGGCTAGGATGAAAAACAACAAATATAAAATCTAAAGCTTACCAAAAAAGGGAACCAGAAAAGCAACACAAACTGTAGATGCAACAAGTGCTGTTCTAAGAAGAATGAAACACCAATATGTAGATGAAATTCTGTCTGGCAGCAACTCCTCTAAACTCCTTGCCAGTGGGTTCATCAACAAAGCATATGTGTTAACTGTTAAGGAAAGGCTTAAACTAAACAGGACTAACGAATTTTAGAAACCATGACCAATAAATAAACTTTCATAAATTATGTAGTTTTGGCATAAAGGATATTTAGTGAATGGGTTAATAACCTGAAAGAAGAGCACAGAACACGAAATTAGGGGGACAAAATTATTGGTTGCTAGAATAAGATTATAAAAATGAAAGTAGTGCTAAGAGACCCAAAAAATCTCAAAACTAACCGTTGTCCACAATGCAACTTTGGAAGCAAATGCACCTGGTGGCATATTCAATGTTATCTGAGACAAAGTGCCATCACCAAACATGAGAAATCCCATGATAGCAACGCTTCCGTATATCAAAACACACAAAGTAAAACTGTACACAAAGAAATGAGTCGAAGAATCAGAAAATAAATCAAATATGTTGTGTGTTGCGGATGAAAGATAAGTTATCAGGCATTATACCATGTTATTAGTGCTTTGGTAAATTGTTTCTTGTCAGCCATAGACTGGTAAATATTTGGGAAAACCGAATGTCCTGCAAAGCAAAATCCATAGACACCAATAGCAAATGGAATGCCATTCCATTTAACCAATTGACCAGTTTGATGGAATCCAACACCGTTTGTGGTTCCAACACAAAACACACAGATAATAATCACAAGTGTTGCAACAACCCCTCCAGCTGCAGATGGTAATACAAGTTCCAATAAGCACATGTTAAGTAGCAAAATTTGAAAACAGAAAGAATATTTTTTTGGACTTTGGAACACCTGATAGATAAGAGACTATGCGAAGATCCTTCAACCAAACAGTTGGGAGAATAATAAGGGCTGTCAAAACTCCAAACAGGTGCACAGTGTCTAACTGGAAACTACCCAGATTTAAGGATGTGCCAGGAAACAGACTAGTGAGGTTATCTCCTTCCAAGGTGATGAATTCCACACAATATGACTGCAGCCATTAATGGAGAGATAGTACAAGTGGTTCCGAGCACAAAATGCAGGTATTCTCAAAGGAAACAGAAGAAATAGGAAGTGCACTTACATATAATTCAGTGTACAAAATTATCTGCAACAAATATCATAAGTAAGTATAGTTTAGTACCACATAACATTTGTTCATAGATGAGAAACATTATATCTCAGCAATCATTCTTACTATCCTCTATGTAACAAGTATTGCACAACAGTTTCTATTACTTTAAATAAAGAAATAAGTTAACTCACCGATACAGCAATACGACCATATCTTCCAAATGCAGCTTCTCCTATATCTGGGTAGGTAATGATTCCTTCTCTGCTTTCAAAGCATTGTCTCATAAGGGTGGCTGTGTAACAACAAATAACTGCAAAAAGAAGCATGACTGCAATGCCCATCCACCCAGCTTGATTCACTGTATATGGTGTAGATAGAAGGCCAACTCCAGCCATCACATTAATGCCTACAAGGTACAACATTTCTCATAAAACGAGCAAGTAGAAATAGATTTTTTTTTTCCATCAACTGAATCTACGATGTTTATACAGAACAGTGCAATGAAATAACATAGTACTATTGAAAATTGTCTGAGTGAAGCTGCATCCATATCCAATGGGCAATTCTCCAGAAAAATGGCGTTGTACTGAGGCTTTCTCCCACCAAGTTGATTGATTAATGGCTTCAGAAGATAGAAAAGGTGTCTTGCCATCAATGTCTAAGCTACTCTTTGAACGATTGTCAAAGCTAGAATACATAAAACTCGGCCCTCGAAAAACTGACTCAAGATTTGGAGCAGCAGCTATTGTATAAGAATCCGTAGTCTCTCTGTCATAAGAAAAGGAAGGAATGGGTGAATACAATAAGGGAAGAACATTTGAGCTCATAAAGGTTACTATGAACAAATAAACAAAGCAATAAACCAGATAAAACAATACTACCAAAGTAGAGTTTTGTCGTTTTCAGTGGCCTTTGTCGAAGATTTCACATACGACTAAATTAAAGTATACATGGTTAAAAAAACTGATTTTGAAGGATTGAATTAGTTTCATATCAAAATTCTACTTACAATACCAGGAATTATCTGAACCATCATCGTTGGATCTAGTAGTCACCCGCTCTTGGACTATTTTCAGATCATGTAAACTTCATGTTTAACATATCCAATCTTTGACATGGAAGAAAGTATGAAAAAGCTCTCTAAAGCATACAAGTGAGATAACCCTGAATCCAAGAAGTTATACAAAACTTGACCAGGATTGACTATGATGGGAGATATGCATCAAAAACTGAAATGGGTGCAAAGATAAGTGAGAAAAAAAGGAAGAATATTCTACTTATAACTTTGAGGCCATTGCTGAGAAGAGAAAGAGTGAGCCTGTGGTCTCCCATTTGCATCATCATCATCATCATCATCGTCGTCGTCGTCAGTGTCCCCTTCACTGCTACTCTCATACTTGTCAGCTTCAATGTCCTGATGTTGGTCGGCATCGTCATCGTTGTGATCCAGCAGAAACTCAAGGTCTCTCTCCTTCTCCTTGTTGACATGATCGTTCCGAACCATGGTTGGGTGAGGCAGAGAGAGAGAGGAATGCAGGGCAGAGAATGAGAGAAGAAGAGAAAGAAGATGTGTGGTGGGAATTGGCTGCGATATGACAGAGGAATCGGGAGAGAACGTGAAGGAAGGCGGCGTGAGGAGAAAAGAGTTAAAAAAGTCTGTATAATTCACTGAAATTCACTCTCAACCACAACGTGGCGCGGCAACTGGCAACGTTTGTTTGGATTTTCCAAATACAGCACACTCTACACTCAACACCCAACACTATGATTATAAAATAGAAGAAGACATTGAAGACAAACAATCAAACAACTGAACAAATATACAAAAAATCTCATCTTGATAACGTTCACCTACATATCTCTAAGTTATTGTTCTGTTATCTACATTATATTATAGTAACAACTACCAATGTAAATTGGAAAAAAATTACATTCTTTTCTTACATTAAATCAGAATTTATTGATGAAAAATTAACAGCTCCAAATCAATTCATATTTTTATATCTTTTTAATTCTTATTTTAATTAATGTAATTCAAAAAAAAAAAAATCTAGATTATGCATCTATATGAAAGTTTTTTTTTTTTTTTTTCAATTCTATCTCTTTTTTAGTCCAAATTACTTTGGAAATACTTTTTATTTATTTATGTATATACTATATATTTTGTATATTAACCTACTTGTTGGATTCCTATATATATTCTGAATAATTAATTGATAAGAAATCAAAAACTGAATTTATATACTTGAAGTCATTTTGAAAAACATTATTTAGGTACATATAACTAAAATTTATATATTTTACGTTAGACAAATCTTAAAAAGGTTTAGTAACATAGTTTGTCCCCCAAAGTTCTTGTCATTATTATACTGATTAAAAAATAAATGTACATATTCCATTTAAATTTTTATAGAAAAAATATATTAATAAGACCCGTATCAGATTAGTTTAAACTGCAACTAAAATTTTTGAACCCAAATTTAAAAAGAAAAATAAAATCTTAGAGCAAGAAAAACTGTATTTTTAAAAAATTGTATCAATTTATACATCGTATACAATGTTGATTTTTCTTTCCTACTATAATGACGGTTTGTAATATACTTCATTTTATTGGAAAATTAAAATGCGCATAATGTTATGCATTAGTTTTATGATTTTTCCGAACATCTTACTCATTTGAATTTATCTTTCTCATGTTCTTTTTAATTTAATTTTATGTAATATAATTTTTATCATAAAAAAACACATAATTAGATACTAAAAATACTTATTTAACATAAATGTTAGTTCTAATATAACTTTATTATTCAAAAGTATTTATATGCTTTAAATTTTAATTATAATTCAAATTATATATTTAAACTTATTATTATGAATATTAAATTATATATAATAAATAGCTGATAATGCATATAATAAAATTTTAAATAATTTGGAAATCATCGGTTAGGAATTTTAATTAATATTTACTAATAAAAGAGAAAAAAATATTTGGAATTTGAATGTAGTTACGTACAGAATTTGATACCCAACAAGTGTAATCTGTCAGAACAGAGTGGTTCAGTCGATGACACATGGAAAGAAGATGACGTCAACACAAACCTGTAATGGAAAAAAGTAATGGGAAACAGTGTCATGAAAATTGTCTCAGAGATCAGGTAACACGTGTCCATAATTTTGTCCACGAAAATTATATAACAATAAAATAATTGGAATTAAACTGTCACAATATTTGTTTCAGAGAAGTAACATGTGTCCAGAATTTTCTTCACGAAAACTTTTTTATAATTATCATGTAATTTTATAATTATACTGTTAGTCAAAATATAATAAAATAAAAAAACTGCTTAATCATAATTTGTTGGTTTTTTAAAATGGGTTTTATCATATTTTCATCCAAGTTAATATTAGTTCGAATTCATCTAGAGATATGAATTGATCCGTTTGATAAACCAATACTAATTTTTAAAATAGCAATAAAAATAATATTATTGTATTATATATATATATATATTATTTAATTTAAATTATATTAATAAAATTAACTTTAATATATAAATTACATAAAAAAAACATTTGTTTACTTAAAAATAAAAGTCAAAAATCTATTTTTAATCATCAGTATTCGTAATTTAGTAATTTAAAATGATTATTCTTCGTCACTATTAAATTATAAGAAAAGAATAATAAAATTAAGAATAGATGTCTTACTAATTCTTATTGTAAGAGTAAATTAATCTCTTATTAAATTGTAATACGTATATATGGTTTAATAAAATGATATATTTTTTTTTTCATTTTCAAAAATAATGACTGTTTTATAAAACATCATAACTTATAAGTAGATCTGATGTAAACCTATCTAATCTCAAGACTAATCGAGTTGGATTAAAATTACCTTACTTCAATTTATATGGGCCTGACCTACTTCATTTTTTCAATTTTTTTGAGTCGACCGATCATTCCAGATCTATTTGTTTTATACCTCTGGCCATAACATTTAAATATGAACTTCAATTGAAATATAGCTGCCCAGCACACTAAAACTTCAGTAAGTCATCAATCAACAATCCTCAAACAGGTTTCAATATGAAACAACTGATCACTTTTCACTTTTCAGAAAGAAAATGAAGATAAGAAAATTGACTATCACACAATTTAACATTTGGTATAGAAATAGGTCACCTAAGGAAAGGACAAGCTTTTTTGTAAAGATTCACTTATTGATCAGATTGAGCTAAACAAACAGAAATATTGATAAAAGCTGGATCAAGTTTAGATAAGAGAAACAGGATGAAGTGATCAACTGAGATAAAAGCTGGACCCAAACAAAAGACTGACAAAGCTTTTGATACATTCAAAGGAAATGCCACAATACCCTACGTAAGTTTTAAGGATTAAGTGGAGTGGTTCCATACACAGGATAATAATTGCTCCCGACATCTAAAGAATTAATCATCATAAACAAGTATGGTGTAAACATCTGATTCAAGACAATTCTCATACATAAGTTAACTACTGCAAATCTACAAACTGCTTGATAGTATGAAGGAAGAAATCCAAACTGAAACTTCGGCATATAATTTAAAATTAAGATTGACTTACTCCTCTAAATAGAATAATTGTGTAAAGTGATAAAGTAGGATGGATCCACTATTAATAAACAGTTAATATTACAAGAGACTTTAATTCAAATAACCGGTAGATATACTCTAATTTCTCATTTTATACATATGCTCACTTAAGAGAAGCTAATCCACGAGAGTACTATAAAATACGCCTTGTCCACAAAAGCATAAACTACTACTAATTGGAGCCACTGCCAACCTTTAAAGTTCTTGTCCACAAAAGCATAAACTATGATAATTAGGCACTTTGAATATTTCAAAATTGGTTTGAACTAAGAAAAATCAGTAGGTTCTCTCAGTTATTTCATTTTTTTCCCACATATTTTTCCTGAAAGGTAAGACTGTTCGACATAATATCAGACACCAAATGTACACACTCTCCTAGTAGGGATTCAAACTTTGTTTGTCACATGATGAAAGATCAATCCCTTCTGCAAAGAAGTGTTCAAACCTTATTTGTCAATTTGTGAGAGACTAATCCCTTCGACTAGACCCAACCCGTTGGTTCTCTTTGTATTATACAACACTAGAATGAGTCTAAAATTTTAATTTACAGACGCTACATCTACCAGCTAAACTACTTCTGAATCAAGACCCAATCAATCAACAATTTCCAATTCATGCAAACATTATAAATTCCAATCCAAGGTTAACTTTCAACACTCAAATCTACCGTCAAACGGATGCATTTCAATTTCCCAAATCCACAAATCGGAAGAATTCTAGGTTCAGTTCAGAGAGCCCCTACCCCCAGATCACAACGGAATCGAGATAACAACAACACGCATCATTCACCTAAAACAATAGAATAAAACAGAAAATGCATTGAAATGGCAATGTAACGCAGGAACAACGGCTTATCCACATTCAAGAAAGAGTCGATAATAACAGCAAGGGAGTCAACAATATCATCACAATGCAAAACTCAAAACACATAGAAAATGTAAAAATTACGAGTAATCAAGGAATTCAAAAATTCCGAGAGTTGTAATACCCTTATTACAGCGAAAACCCTATTTATGCCTTCAAACAAAACCTAGAAGAAGCGAGTGTTGGATGGCTGGATTGAATTGATGGAGATTCATTCGGAGGAGTCGTTATCGGCAGCGAGGGCGTTCTCGATCTTGAGGCGCTCGAGGGCCTTCTCGTGGGCCCACGTTTCAATGGTCAAATCGGGCTTGGCGTTGAGCCCAACACCCAGGATAACGATGGTGAGGAAGCTGGTGATGTAGCAGGGTAGTTCCCAGTCTTCCCACTTGCGGGTCTGGCCCGGAGGCGGGGGCGTCCGGTTGAAGAGGTACCCTTTGGGCCGCTCCTCATGGCCCGGACTCGTCCATCGACTGGGCCCAGACTCAGCGCCGCCACGGGTTCGGAGGGACTGGAGGAGCCTCCGGCGGAGCGTGGCGGAGGCGAAGGGCGTCGAGGGCGGCATCGGGTTGGGTTTGATTTGGGTGGTTTTGATCTCTCGGAAGGGAGGGTGAGTGAGACCTGAAAAGCAACTGCTCACAGAGAGAGAGAATGGAAATTTTCTGGCGTTGGCCTTTTCTTTCCGTGTGGATTGGATCACATTCAATTGGGCCTACAGTTTCAGCCCTACACAGAGTATTTATAGTGGTTACGAAATACTGTATTATTTTTGTGTATTTCACAGAATTGAAAATTCGGAAACATATTTTTGGATTGGTATATATCATGAATATATATAACATGTCTTTTATGTTTTAGATTAAAATGTATTTTAAAATTCATATTAGTGAACCCAAAAAGCTTTTAAATTACTCGCTTCGTAATTATTTTGGGTAGAGGGATAGAAAAGACAAAACATTTTTATTACTTTTTTTTATTTAATATTTCTTTTATTATTTAGATTTTTTTTATTTGTAATTTTATTATTGTTATTAGTAAGTAATCCAAAAAAATTTAATAATAATAATAATATATAGATATAATAAAATATTTAATAATATATAGAGATTTTTTTTTAATATTGTAGGAGAGAAAAAAATAGAAATATCATAATTTAAAGAACAATAAATATTATTATTTATATATTAAAAATAATGAAAATATGAAAAAAAAGAAAAATATGATACCAAATTAATGAAAAAAATAAATACATGAAAGAGAAAATAAAGTTAATTATACGGAACATATGAATAAACATATATATCAAAATTATTTATATATCTTAAATAATTTAATATATTCTAAGAAAAGTATATGACTTCTCATAGTAAGAATAGTAACTTTATTTATGAAATAAGAGAAAATGTTAGGTAGCTCAAATCTTTCAACCTAATAAGAAAAAATTGTCACATCAATAATTTTTTGTTTGAATTATTCTCGTACACATAGTAAAAATTAAAGTGTTCGTAAGGTTAAAATTTAAAAAAACCGCTTCCTTCGTTTCTTCTTCTGGGGCTTTGGGGTTGTACTTGTTTTTTCTGTTTACAAGTTTGTTGAACTAGGATGCAAGTTTTGTCCTGTTTAGAGATCTTGAACTTAACTAACTCTTGAAAACCACGCCTTTGATTTGTGATTTGAAAGTGTGAAATGCATGTTTTTTGTCAACAACGGAGCCATAAACTTCAAATTGGTGGATAGTCAACCACAGTGCCAAAAACCCAAACTGGTGGAGACGCTACCACACATAACCGATTTCTTTAGCCACCTCATCAGAGTGTGGTGGAAGAAGAGGCGCAAAGTCAGAGAGAAGAAAAGAAGTCATGGAGGATTTGATGAAAGATGACGAAGAAACAAACAAATTTGCTCATTCCGCATAAGTTCTCTCATTGAGCTGTGTTCCGTTTGTTAGATATTTACATTGTGTGGAAGGGTATAGATCAAGCTTGATTGAGCCTCCACATGTTCATTCCTCGGTGGATACGTTCTCATTTTCAGTGGCTGAAGAGTCTGAACTTGTACCGACCTCACATTTGGATGGGACTATCAAGAAGATCTGATGAGAACAAAGAACCAAGACTTTTATTTCTCTGATCCTAATTGAATCATACAAATACTAATTTAAAGGCAGAGTTGGTCGTAAAAAGGTAACCAATTTACTGCAAATAAGGAGCAGAATCAATAAAAACATACTCAATCGGCTATAAAGATCTTATGAATTCCTATTTTGATTAAAATCTGACTCTGATGCAGATTACAAAACCATATTAAGTGATAACTTGTGAGGGTAGCCATTTCAGCGGTTTTGGAGCAAAAATCAACAAGAAAATAACACATAAAGAAAAAAAATGTAAGATTAAAAAATTGTAGAACCGGAACCAACAAAATCAAGAATAGATATGAATACCTAGAGTATATTTTAAATGAGTAATTGGTTATGAAGCACTGAATCCGACACGGACACGATACGACACGGACATGCAGACACGGTAAATTTTTAAAATATAGGACACCGGGACACCTTATATATATTAGACATGAATAAAAATTTAAATATGATTCAAATGAGAAATATATAAATTAAAAATTAAGATTTGTTCATTCATCTTCTCAAGACAAAGTTGTTAGACTTTACAATTTTCATATGATATCCTAACCAAAAAATATTAGGAACTACTATTTCACAATATAAGAACTTTGTCTTTTTACAAAAAGAAAGTCTCAAAATAAGAAGATGAATCAAATCTATTAAAGGCAGTGGCCTTCATGATCATCATCATTAAAAAATACACTCTTTAGCTCTGGTTCATCAAGTGATAAATTAGCAACTTCAAGCATTTCACTCTCATCTAGTCATCTAAATGCATCTCCTGCTATGTCCCACATTTTTGTTTCCTCTTGGTTATATTGTGGAGAATTCCTTGAAAGAAGACGGAGGTTGCTATGAACAAATACTAGATCTTCCGCCCTGTATGGTGCCATCTTGTTTCTTTTCATATAATGAATAAAAGAGTAAGTGCTCAAATTTCTTTTACAACATGAAGAAGAACATGGTTGCCCAAGTAGTTTAAGAGCAATTTTTTGAAGTATTGGAGCATGAGCACCATAAACAAGCCACCAAGATTTTGCATCCATCTTACCCCTATCACTTAATGAATCAATGTCATCAAAACCTTCTCTTTCATCTCAAAAATTTGCAAACTCTACATTTACTTGTCTCCTCATATCCACATCAACAAAATATCGTTTAAAACATTTCACTCTTTCACGAGTAAGTTCCATATCTTGATGTGGAGGAACTCTATTAGAATCTTCACTTAGCCATCCATGACTATAATATCTACAATATAAATAAAAATCATGATTACAATAACATATAAAAATGTAACTAAAATTTTATTTAGGAATATAAAGTATTACCTTGGATTTAAAGAATGTGCTAAACAATGGAGAGGTGTGCTACTCTTTGTCCAACGTTCAATTAATATGGAGTGCACAACATTATAAAAGCTTGATTCTTCACTTTCCGCCTTTCTTTCATATCGATAAATGACCTTTCTCACATTTTCAATCATTGAGTCCCACATTTCATATACTAAATGGAGAGATGAAGCTTCCGTATCCGTTTTTCTTAGAACATCATAAATGGGACTAGTGAAAGAAAGTATATAATCAACCTTATCCCACCAAACATCATCCAATAATGTATCTTTCACAAATTTAGCTTTTCCAACATCATCTTCCTTGTAAGAAGATCATTCATCACTAATAACCATCTCTTGCAGTCTTTTCTTCAATTGCTTCAATCTCTTAAGCATGACTATAGTAGAAGCAAATTTTGTTGGAGCAACGGAAAGCAACTTTAATGAGTTGAATGAGTTGAAAATAGATAACCTCATTAAGTGACCCATGATGAAATTTTTTATGAACATAGCATCTTCTTCTATATTTGTGATCCAAGAACATTCTTGATAATCAATATTGTTTTTTTCTATGTTCTTTGCTGCACATATATTTTTCAAAACAAGATTTAGAGTGTGCACAACGCAAGGGGTCCAATAAATACAAGGAAAATCAGCTTCAATCATTAAACCTGCGGCCTTACATACAGGTGCATTATCAGTCACAATTTGCACCACATTTGAAGGTCCAACTTCCATAATTACATCTCTCATTTGTTTGACTATAAAATCTTTGTCTTTAATCTCATCAGAGCATTCTATAGCCTTCAAAAACATAGGTTCACTCTCTGTAACAACCATGAAATTAATGTGAGGTCTTCTTTGGGGATCACTCCACCCATCACTAACAATGCTAACACCTTTTTGACTCCATGTCTTTTTGATTGGCTCCAAAAGCTTCTCTACATGTCTTGTTTCATTAGCAAGCAAACTTGTTCTCAACTTATTATAACCTGGTGGTTGATATCCACTTACATAATTATTGGCAGCAAAAGAAAAAACTCTCCTATAATAAGTATTTCTTGCTAAATAAAATGGCAATCCCGATGAGTAAAACATCTTAGCAATTTCATAGTCTAATGTGTCTCTAGCTTGCATATTGAAAGCTTTATCTAGTGATCCGGATATTTTCCTTTTTTTGAGATCAACACCATCTATAGATGATTCATTAGAAACCGGAGGCAAAAGGAAAAATTTTTGCCTTAGACCTTTCTATCTTCAATGTAGCTTCATTGTCTAGCTTTGTTAGTTCACCAAGCTTCAAGGGTGTTATTTTTTGACAACCTCTAACTCCCTTTCCTGTAATCTTCAACAAATGTGCTCTCACTCTAGTATAAGATCCATTGAAAGTAATATTACAAATATTGCATTTTACTTCATAATTTCCACCACCTCCACCAACACTTTTTATCTTTGTAACATAATTCCATAGGGGTTTGATATCATCATCTTGTAAAGGCTGACTAGAATTACTCATTTTTATAGAAATGAAACCAATAACATATGATTTTTCTATGTTCATAATTCCATAACTATCGCATTCTAATAAAAAAAAATGAAACATTATAAAGGAAAACAGAGCAAAACAAAGACCTAAACAATAGACAACAAAAAAGAGCATGATGCAATGGAATACCTGAACAACAATGAACTCTATACCCTTTTCTCTTTCACAAACCCTATATTCCTCCCTCTCTGTAAATGGGTTGGAATTTCATCTTCTGGCTCTTCATTTGTTTCCCTGCCAACATTGCCCTTCTCGCCTCCACTTTTTCCCTGCCAATATTGCTAACAGTGGCTCTTCAACTACTTTGTTATTTCGGAGTTAATTGGGCAAGGAGCGTTGTGTGGTCTGTGCTCTCGGATTAACTACACAATAGCACACAGCAGAGAAAAAATGGAAGGAAAAAAGGAAAGCTTTTTTGGATGAAAGGAAAGCTTTGGAGCAGAAATGGAAAGGTGCAAAGGAAGGAAGGAAGGAAGGAAACGTGCAGAGGAAGGAAGGAGGAAAGAAAAGCGGGAGAAAAAAGAATGTAAATAGAATTTTCTTTTTTTTATAAAAGCTATACCTGAGTTGGAGTCGTGTCTGACACCGTGTTGAATCTAGGTCACGCCGTGTCCACCATGAATCGAATCCTCGCGACGCGTTTTTGGTCTAGGAGACACTGCAAAAAAGAGTCGGACACGCTATGCGACGTGTCGTGGCGGTGTCGGTGTCGGACTCGCCTGCGACACTTCGACACGGATGAGGGGAGTCGTGTCGGTGCTTCACTGGTAATTGGCAAAGAGAATAATGAGTAAGGACCTGGTAGAGATGAAAGTGCTATCAACTATGACGGTGAAGCCATAAACATTGCGGAGAAAGTAACAAGCAAACCCAAGGCAGATAAGATATATAGTGACAGATACTTGTTCACTAATGATCCACTTAAAGGACTTGAAAAACGGACAAGGGTTAGAATAAAGAAAACTCTTCAATAAATGTTATCCATATTATTTAAATACAAGTCCACATTTTAAAGAAAAAACATCAAAATTGTAAATTACATCATGGCTCAAATAGAGGAGGATTAATGCGTCACTTTGTTTCAGTCTTTAAGTTTGTTTAAATAATAATTCAATCCTTTATAAAATTGGCTAACCAAATTATGTTTTGGGTTAATCAGTTAATGAACTTTAGTTTAGTTTTGTTTGAAGTTGTAATAAGGGCCCAATTGGAAACTTACGTATCAGCTTTTGAGAGATCAAGAGGATGTATAACTGATTAACTTTTGGTTGTCACAATTTTAGTTACAATCAACCATTAAATAGTTTTGAATTCTTAGGTTAATGAATAATTTATTTGCCTCTATTAAGTAGTTTTCAATTCCTAGATTAATGAATCATTATTAGTATTTATTTTTCTTTATTCAATCTTTGTAATTCTGATGACAAAGTTTCTATATCAGCTGAACCATTTTTATTAAAAAAAACAAGTTGAGTTTTATTCAAAAATATTAGAGTTTAACTTTTTTATCTTTGTGAGAGTTATTCTTCTAAGTTCTTGAGTGATTCAAGAACCTTTGGCTGTATCAAAGGACTTTCACATCCTTTGTGAGTTGTCTCCCTTGAGAAAAGTTATTCTTTCATTTGACCTTTCACATTCAACTCTTGTCCTTTCTTCACCAAAGCCCCAAAAAAATCTTAATTCTGTCCAAATTTATTTCGTGGTCATAACTTTCGTTTTACTTGTCCAAATTGAGTGTTTTTTGAGCCTAAATTGAAATTCAGAAAGAGAACTTTTACCTCATTTTTTAATCACCTCAATCGGAGTTTTATAGCTTGAGAAATCGACATTTCAAAAATATTGTCCAACCCTGAAACTTTCAATAAGCCCTCTTCTCACTAATTTCCTAAATTTCCTACAAAGTTCTAACCCTAAAGATCCTAAATCAGCCCTTGTGTAAATGTGGTTCATATCATTTGATATTAAAAGTTCCGGTTTAAGGGTTTGAATGTCAAATTGTGATGGCAGAGGAGGAAAATTACAATCAAGGAGCAGGACTTAGTCCATTCCAAATTAGTCAATTCCAAATGAGGGCATTGATACAACATTTGGAAGGATTAATGATACAATATAACAATGAATTCTATGAAAGATTGAACCGGTCGGAGAATAGAGATCTCGAAGATGAAGAAAAAAGGAGAAATAGGAAAAGGAGTGATGAAGTAGCAAGACCAAGTAAGCTTGAAGGAGTCAAGCTTAACATTCCTCCGTTCAAAGGAAAAAGTGATCCGAAGACATATTTAGAATAGGAGATGAAAATAGGGCATGTTTTCTCATGCAACAATTATGAAGAGACCCAAAAGGCGACACTTGCAACCATGAAATTTTCTGACCATGCTCTTTTTTGGTGGAACAAGCTACAAAAGGAGAAAATTAGAAATGAAGAGACAACGATTGATATATGGACTGAGATGAAAATGATTATGAGGAAGTGGTATGTACCGGCTAGTTACTTAAGGGACTTGAAATTCAAACTCCAAAAACTTACTCAAGACAACAAGAGGGTTGAGGAGTATTTCAAGAAAATGGACATGCTCATGATTCAAACAAAGATTAAAGAAGATGAAGTGGTAACTATGACCTGATTTATTGGTAGTTTGAATATTGATATACGTGATATTGTTGAGTTGCAGGAGTTTGTTGATATGGAGGATTTGTTTCATAAAGCAATTCGAGTGGAGCAACAACTCAAAATAAAAGGAGTGACCAAGAAGATTTTTATCAACTTTGAATCTTCAAGTTAGAAGGATAAAGGCAAGAAAGATGAGGATGCTACTTCTAGTAGTTCCATATCTATTCCTTCAAAGTCTCAAGAACAACCCTCTAAAAGAAGTAGAGATGTGAAGTGTTTCAAGTGTCAAGCCCTAAGATACTATGTTTATGAGTGCCCTAACAAAAGGTCTCTGGTTCTTAGAGAGGGAGAATATATAAGTGAATCTAGGTTGAAGAAGGATAGGAGAGTGAGGACATTGAGGAGGAGGAGACTCTAAAAGAAGATTTATTGATGATTAGATGATTATTTAGTAGCTAATTGAAGGAGAAAAGACAAATTGTGAATTGAATCATGGTCCAAATGGAAGAAGACTAATTCCTCACTTTGTTTTAGTATTTAAGTTTGTTTAAATAATGACTCAATCATTTGCAAAAATTAGCTGACCAAATTATGTTTTAGGTTAATCAATTAATGAGCTTTAGTTTAGTTTTATTTCAAGTTGTAATAAGGGTTCAATTGGAAACTTAGGTATCAGTCTTTGGGAGACCAAGAGAGTATATAGTTGATTGACTTTTTGTTGCCACAATATGAGTTACAATCAACAATTAAGTATTTTTGAATTCCTAGGTTAATAGATCATTATTGACATTTACTTATAACTCTGATGTCAAAACTTCTACCTAAGCTGAACCATTTTTATCAGAAATAACAAGTTGAGTTTTATTAAAAAATATTAGAGTTTAACTCTTTTATCTTAGTAATAGTGATTCTCTTAAGTTTTTGAGTGATTCAAGAACCCTTGTTTATATCAAAGGACTTTTACATCCTTTATGAGTTCTCCCTTGGAAAGAGTGATTTTTTCCTTTAATCTTTCACATTCACATTTTGTCCTTTCTTTACCAAAACTCAAAAATATCAATTCTATTCAGATTTATTCCGTGATCATAACTTTCGTTTTATTTATCCAAATTGAATGTTTTTTTAGCCTAAATTAAAATTCATAACGAGAACTTTCATCTTGTTTTTGAATCACCTCAATCAAAATTTTATAATTTGAGATATCGACGTTTCAAAAATACTATCTAATCCTAAAATTTTCACCACTTTTTAATCCTCTTCTCACTAATTTCTAAATTTTTTTTTGTAAAGTTCTGATCCTAAATTATAAAGATCTTACATCAACCCTCCTATAAATGAGGTTCCTATCATATAGGCAATGTGAAGCTTATTGGTGCTAACAGGGATAGAAGAATAAGGAGTTTCCAAAATTCCTCCTTTGTAGATGCAATCTTAATTTCCTGGATTTTTGGGTTGAGAAGTAAGGAAAAAAAAAATGTCGCGCATTTTAGTTCTTCTGTACATAAAGTATCTATATGCAGCATTCTATTTATTCTCCCTTTTCTTGATGGAATTGAACAGTAACATTAAATTGTGAGCCAATTTCAGCATCGAAACAGATTAAAGACTGAAGTTGAAAACCCTTTTATAAGCACCTTAGAATTTCATTGGTTACTCTCTATCAAGATCTTCTCACCAGTAATCTCCACAAGAACATTTTCCGCCAACAATTCGATGAAACCGGTTTTTATCCCTCAAAGACACTTCTCTTCCATAAATCTTTGAGATATATTTAGCAAAATTATGGCAATCAACGCAAATACGAAGGTTTTTTATTACACGGATTGGCACACTTTCAGGAGTAGCAATTAGAGCAAAACACATAGCCAACTTCTCACTGTGACTAAGAAGTATCTTCTCCTTCTGCTCCTCATCGACATCATGTAAAACACAACTCAAATCAGGAACATAGCCAGATTCTTTAAACCGGACTGATAACTCCTGCACTTTTGCAGATACTTCTTCCCTTCTTGGATGGGAACAATCACTAGCATGGAACGTGTGAAGTATTTGATCAAGCTCAATCCAGCTTCTTCCAGGCTCTTTTGTTACAGTCTTCTTCAACATCAGGTCCCTTAGAGATCTTACATCTTCCCATCTTCCTGCTGAAGCATATAAATTAGATAGAATAACATAATTGCCAGCATTTTCAGGCTCAATTTCTAGAAGCCGGTGACCCACAAATTCACCAATGTCAACATTTAAATGAACACTGCAAGCACCTAGAAGGCAACCCCATATAGCAGCTGATGGTTCGAAAGGCATCTTCTTGATGAACTCAAAAGCTTCTTCCACTCGACCAGCACGACCAAGCAAATCAACAACGCACCCATAGTGCTTTGTGTCTGGCTGAACAGCAATTTTCCCACTGGTCATATCATAAAAAATATCCATTCCCTTATCTTCCAGTCCTCCATGACTGCAACCAGATAACACAGCCAAAACTGTGACACTGTCAGGTTTGACTTTATTTTCATCTCTCATTAAATTGAAAAGTTCAAGAACTTCTTTTCCCTCTCCATGTTTGCTATACCCAACTAGCATCGCATTCCAAGAGATAACAGTTCTCTCATGCATGGTAACAAATATCCTTCTTGCGTAAGTGAGGTTTCCACATTTTGAGTACATGTCAATCAAAGAGTTTTGAAGAACCACAAATGAGAGAACTTCAGACCGAAGAAGATGATTGTGCACTTGCTTGCCATGATCTAGAGCAGCAAGCCCAGAAAGTGCAGTTAAAACACTTGTATAAGTAACATAGTTTGATTGCATTCCTTCCTTTTGCAACTGGCGAAATAGTTCCAACGCCTCTTCATCCAGGCCCAGTTGAGCATATCCAGAGATAATGGCAGTACAAGAAACTACATCTCTTTCAGGCAAGCATTCAAATATGCCTCGAGCTTCATGAATTTTGCCATCCTTAGCATACATATCAAGTAGTGAGCTTCCAACATAAACATGCGATTCGTAATTTAACTTTATGATAAGAGAGTGGATTTGCCTCCCTAAGACAAAACCCAAAGCACCTATACATGAAGTAAGCACGGTAGCAAAAGTGAACTCATTAGGTTCTGTACCTGCAAAAAGGCATAGATACCTTCAACACAGAAAAATCATTGACATAAAAGTAACCGGCAAACAAAAGTCTCAACCCAAATCACTAAATAAAACAACATCTTCTTCTAATTTCTCCTTAACTCAATAGGTTCCTCCGTTCTATAAATCTTAGTTACTTGGGCCTAACAAGTGACAACAAATCTTCTCCTACATAAAATCAAAACTTAGTGAAGCATTCAGTAATCTATATTAGTTCCTTGCTTTACACAATTACCTGATCTTAGCATCTGCACAAAAAGGGTCAAGGCATGAGAGGCATATCCTCTCTGAGAATAAGCCGAGATCATAGCCGTCCACGACACCACATTCCGCTCCGGCATTTCATCAAACAGGTGCCGAGCATCTCTCAGAGAGTCACACTTGACATAGAATACGATCAGCCTTGTCCACAGGTACACACAGGGAAGATGGTGAGTTTTGATCATGTGGGCATGCACTCTCTGCCCTTCTTTGAAGGCCCTTTTGCTCACGCACTCGTTTAGGACTGTGTTGTAGTCTTGGAAGTTCATGTCATTGCCACGAAGGGCCATTTGTAGAAGGGCCTCTCGCAGATGGGTGTCGCGGCTACGAGCGCCGAGGATGTGGTCCGAGTTTGAAGGTAAAGAAAAAAGACGCAGGTGTTGGAACAAGGCTTTGTGTGTGGAAGACAAGGCATGTCTTGAGCGAAGCATGCTTGGGGAAACAACTACGAGAGAATGAGGTTGAAGGTTTCCAAAGGTGGCAATGGAAACCGAAGTCCGATATCATTCCAAAGGGATGAAACTTCATGTGCTTTTGAATATTTTATCATTCATTTAGTATAATGGAAAGAAACCATAGAAGAAAAGGAAGAATGAAAGAAAAAGGTCATTTCATTTCTTATTTATTATTCTTAAAAGTATTTATAATTATTTTTTCAATTAATCACCGATAAAAGAGTATATACAGTAAAATTATATTAGTAACTGTTCTCAACATACATAAATTATCTCAGTCAAAATTTTATTCACGCAAATCACTCTCTACTTTATCTTCTTTTACTTTCCATTGTTTTCTTCTTTTTTCAAACTTTCATCACCCCACATTCTTGTCACATACGACCTAGATTTAAAAAAATAATATTCTTTAAAAATCTTTTTTTTCACTTTCATCTCTTATGCTCTTCCCCATACACACTTATAATAGAAGGATATTTACGTTTGTGTCCACAGAAATTCAACAATAACACAAACTCATTCAGTCTATAAAAATTCTTTGATTTCCCACTTCATTCACAACCCCTCTTTTAAGTCACTCTTTATAAGATAGATATTGCATGTTCGGTGTCACTTCTATTGTCTCAGAATCAATATTCATTCTATTTTGAATGTCCTTATTTTAAATCATTCTATATTACTTGTCTGAAAATCATTACAATCTCTATCATAGGACCCAATCCAATAAGAGATAAAGCCAATAAACAAGAGAAATCAAGGTATTAATATGATCTTCACTAACTTTCAAATATATTGACTCCAAAAGGTTGTAGATGACAAGGTAAATTTGTCAAAAAGCAATCTTTGAATGTAACCCAAGGGCTTATAACATAATATACTAATCAACCGGAGCTTTCTATTTCAAAAACATGTAGCATCTACCAAATATTTTGTCGATAATTAAACAAAACTTAACTACAAAGAATACACTTCATTGCAATATTTTAAGCATACTACAATTAAGAAGCTCACCTACATGCTACAGTTGGCTTATTATCGGCTACTCAAATCAATCGTCTTTGGAAGATATAGATTACAACTTGATATTAACAAGAATAAATTAATTAATCAGGTTGACAAATTGTATAAACAAGACAAGTTTTAGAAGGTTATCGGACAAGAAACAAACTCCTGATAAGAACACCGCGAGTAAAATAAACTTAGTTTAAACCACATTAGAAGGCAACAGAAAGTTGTCCAATACAATTCCCCACATGGCTGCACCGTGAAAACAAGACATTAACAGACCCATATGTCCAAAAATCAATTACAAACCAATTTCATGAAGACAGTCACGGACCCTTAGAAGTATTTGCCTATTTCACAATTAATGCAACTACCAGTAAACACCTACTCCCTAAAAACCTACCCTCAGAATAAAAAGAAATCTGAATAACAAAACACCATCCGCAGCCACTAGTTTTTACTACTACAAACATGCAATCTCAAGCACGTTCACCACGAATCCTTCTTGCCAGCTGGATGTCCTTAGGCATAATTGTTACGCGCTTGGCATGAATGGCACACAGGTTAGTGTCCTCAAAGAGACCCACAAGGTATGCCTCGGCCGCTTCTTGCAATGCAAGCACGGCGTGGCTCTGGAAACGCAGATCAGTCTGTAACCACAGCATAACTTGTTACAGATTTTAACCCAGGGAAAGGTATGTCTGGACAACACTAGTATTTAAAAATACTTGTAAAGGGATATGGAAGAAGAACAAATACAAAAAATTTGCAATTCAATCTTGAACATAAATTAAAAATCAAATTAACAGAAGATGATGCAAGAAAGATATTACGAATTAAGTTATGCATGCAATAAATATTTTAATTCTATCTTAAGACGAGAATATGTTTTCATTGTTGTTCAATTGTTCTAATGTAAGTATTTTTTTTTTATAATAGTCAGGACATAAATAACAATTGCAACACATGAATACCTTAAAGTCCTGTGCGATTTCACGAACCAACCTCTGGAAGGGGAGCTTCCTGATCAGAAGTTCGGTACTCTTCTGATATTTCCTAATTTCACTGTTTCAATAACAAAATATAATCAGACCATAATCTCTTGGGTAAAACAAAATGTCAAATATTAAGTTCGGTTATAAAATTATATTTTCGTGTTAGTTTTTGTTTTACAAAGATATTTTAGTCAGAATGCCCACTCTAATAGTACACAATTGTATCACTCAATTTTAATGATTCAATGTCTAATATTCTACTTTAAACCACAGAAGACACCGCCTCCTCAATCTCTTTGTTATCATAATAAAAAAATAATACACTAAACCACAGACCACTCACCGAAGAGCAACAGTACCAGGACGATATCGATGTGGCTTCTTCACACCACCTGTGGTCGGGGCAGATTTCCGTGCAGCCTAAAATCAATACAGGATCAAACAAAAATTGCTATCAGATGGAACTTAGAATCCCAAAATTGAATAAAGAATGAAAGTAATTGTGTTTTAACAACAAACCTTGGTTGCAAGTTGCTTCCTAGGAGCCTTTCCTCCCGTTGACTTACGGGCAGTTTGCTTAGTACGGGCCATCTGCGTCCAAATCCAAATTAATCTCAGAACAGAAAAGGATAGGCCCTTTCTCAGCCCTATGTAGGACGTAACCTAGTCCTAAATTGCATTGGGTTTAATTAAGAAATAAAAGAATTATAATCAGTATCTAAATCTCTATCTAAAGAGATAAGAAACCCTAAAATATAGGAACTAAAAATTTTCAGGTGGAAACGAATCAGAACAAAGAAATTAATGAAAAAAGAAAACAAATCCAAGATTGAAGAAAAAAGGACAAATATATAAGTCTGGATTTGAAGAAGATAACTAACCTGAAAGGAGTTTGTTCTTCTTCTCCAAGAGAGAGGCTGAATGGAAGGAAAAAGAATCTAAAACTCTTAAACCGAACGAATTGGAGAGCTATATATAGCATACTAGTTGAGGTGTCTGTGAATTATCGAACGGATACGATTCATTATCCGTGTGTTTTTCCCGTTTCGAATCGTACGGTTCATCAAGTGTCTAACTGTGTTTTCTCAAATTAAACGAACGGGTGCGATGGTTTTTGGGAACGCAAATACGGATCGCAAAGTCTAATTGTCCCATTCCCATTGGCTACTCTAAACTCATGAAGTGTAGCCTTTTCTTTTTCTTAAAGCCAACTGAGATTACAGTTACCATTTTCCCCTTTTAAGTCTTACAATTACCATTTTTTAAACTTTTTTTCCTAAAATAATCATAATAAAAAAATATATTTTTAAGATTTCTTGTAATTGTTTATTCAATCAAAATATAAATTTATGATGTTGATTATTGTTTGCAAATTGGATAGAATAAAATTATATAACTAATAAGTTATATAGAATCTAAAAATACTCATTTATAACTATTTTATATCATATCACATTTATATATGTTGCTTTAATATTTTATATTAATGTAATTAACTATTGTAATAACTTATTAACTTTACTGATTTCAACTTCAGTTATTCATTCTAAATTAGGTTCACTCACAGAATATAAAGTCCCAAGATTTTTTAAATTCAAACCTTAAGGTATTTACTATGGAAATGTAGCATGTATCCACATCTATGTTAAATAATATAAATAATTGTTACAAAAATATTTTTATTTTTATTTTTATTATTTAGAATTTTTTTTATGCATTTCTATGTTTTAAATTTTTATCATTATTTTGTCTTTTTATTTAATAAATATAAATTAATAAATAATTGAATAATTGCTCACTTCACTCTATATAATAATTCTTCACTTTCCAAATCAAATTTACGTGTGTTCTCCTCTAGAGACACACGAGCAAAAACAACGTGTGTTCTCCTCTACTAATTAAAAAAAAAAAAAAAACTTATATAACCAAAACATATATAATTAATTGAATAATTACTCATTTCACTGAAAAGACACACAAGATCAAAAAACAAAAACTCGCCTTTACTAATAAAAAAAAAACTATATAAAACAAAAAATATATAAAAATAAAATTTGATTATGTTTATACTTCCTGAAATTTAAAATGATTTTGATTTTAGTTATTAAATTTCAAAAAATTATTTTAATCACTTAAAATTAATATATATATAATCACTAAATAATAAAATTAAGCGTTTAAATTATTTTTAAATATTTTTAATCCTTCAATTTACAATTTAAAGACTAAAACATTATTTTATTAAATTTAAGAAAAAAAGTTTTTTTTTTAAATTTAAAGAACTAAAAAACTATCCACCTACTTTTAGAAACTACAAACATAATGTTGTGAATATTTCATCTCTCTTGAAATTAAAAATATATTTTTTAAAAGCTCTTAAAAATTAAAATGGTTTAATTTTATATGATAATAAACCAGTAAAATATACTTTGAAAAAGCTAAGTTCTCTACTCTGTTTCCATTATCCTCTTCCCCTCCCTTTCTATTCTCTGATCAATCTCACTATAGAAAAAATAAAAACCGTCAATTTTTATTCTTATTTTAAAAAATAAACTAAGTTTAACATAATCTAGTTCATAATCACCGTAGTTGTACTATACATGTCTTCAAGAAACAACAAAATGAAGCAAAATAGATGCCACGATAAAGCTTGACCAGATTAAACATTGCATTGAATTGAGGGAGTGTTAATTATAAGATACAAATAAAAATATCAAATAACATAGGGTTATCATCTCTGAGACTCTTATGTGGAGAACTTACAAGTGGGTTACTCTTTCGTAAAGGGAGATGGTGAATGATTTTGCTGCAATAAAGTGCTAATCCTAAATTCTAAATGTATATACACAAGAAATGCAAATAATATTGCTAGTAACTACTGAATAAAGAGGACAAAATGAATTCTTCTGAATGGATGTAAACTTGTGTTTACAATGCCACAGTTAGTTTGTTTCACATCCATTTCCCTTCTTTGTATGTGATGCTTCCTTGTCCCTTTCGCAAGCGTTCATCCAGTTGAGACAGATAAAAAAATTTCCACTGAAGAACTAGGAGTTGAGTTGGCTTTGCTTTGTCGAGAATGGTTTGAATGTAGCTTGTATGAGGCAAGAAGTTCGTTTAAATACCCTTTTCAACTGTTTTAAACCTCTCACCCTAAATCCTGTGTCACTATACTTAATCTACCCAATGCCTCATAAATCTCCTCTGCTTCAGGATGTGATTTATCACCAGAAACAAATCCGTGGATGAACCCGGTTACCTCAATGCAGCTCCACCCTGGTTTCTTCTTAAGATCCCTTTCACTCATGACTCTCCTCAGTTCTTCAACCTCGTCCCATCTTCCAACACTTGCTTTTACATTACTCAATAGAGTATAAAATCCAGCATTGTCAGGTTCTAGTTCCAAAAGTCTTTGTGCTGCATATTCTCCGAATTTTTTATTTCCATAAACTCTGGAAGCTGCTAGAAGAGCATTCCACATCCTGCTATCAGGTAGAATTACCATTTTCAATATTATGGCTAAGGCCTCTTCAAGCATCCCGCATCGACCAAAAAGATCCACAATGCAAGTGTGGTGATCCAAAGCAGGTTCAATTCCACATCCCCATTTCATAGAATGGTAAATATTGCAGCCTTCACTAACAAGACCAGAGTGGCTACACGCGGAGAGTAAACTCAAAAAGGTGACTGAGTTTGGCTGCACTCTTTGCTCAATCATTAAATTAAAATACTTCAAAGCGTCAAAGCAAAAACCATGGGAGCCAAGTCCCTCAATCATTGTTGTCCATGCTACTACATCTTTGACAGGCATGATATCAAAACATTTTTTAGCAGAAGACATGCTACCACCTCGTAAGTACATGTTTAAAATAGAGGTCTCAAGGTGTGCTGAATTTTTTATAGGTCCATTAAACAAGTTCTTTATAAGATAACCATGCACTACTCTGCCCAGTTTTAAAGCTCCCAGGTTTGCATATGCATCCAGAAGATTTCTCCAAATTTCAGGGACAATATAAAGATCTTCAGCTTGCATTTGTTGGAATAAAACTATAGCCTCCATAAAAGAGCCATTCTGAATGAAACCTGACATCATAGCACCCCAAGTGATGTTACTTTTAGAACGGATTTCACTAAACAGTTGAACTGATGTTTCCAATTTCCCACACTTGGCATAAAAGTCAAGAAGAGATGTCAACAAAACATCATCAGAAAACCCAGTTTTTATGACTAAGCAGTGCATGCCTTCACCCTCAAAAAGACTACCAGACTTTGCAAATGCCGATATAACGAGAGTTAAAGTTTCAATGTTCCACAAATGCACTTCTAGGCTCTGTATTTCTTTGAGCAAACCTGCCACTCTTATTGTGTCTCCTTCTGAGTAGTAAAAGGAAATCAAAATATTCCAAGAAACCACATCCTCCATGGTTACTTCACCGAATAAAAGTTCCACTTCTTTTGTACTCCCTTTACTACCATACATTCTCAAAACCGAGTTCTTCACTGACCAATCCATTAGCAATCCACTCTTCAGTACACACCCATGTACTTGAGTTCCCTCACTTAATTTTATGGAAGCACAACATGCCTGCAACATCACAATAAGCGTGACCGAGTTTGGTTCCAATTCCATCCTCATCTTGTTAAACAAATCAAAGGCCATACAAACAAGTCTCTCAGAACCATATCCCGCAATCATCAAAGTCCAAGAAACGACATCCCTCTGTGACATTTCATCAAACACTCGGCGAGCACAACCAACGCACCCACATTTCACTAAAACATCAATCATGGTATTGCAAAAATACAAATCCCCATCCAAACCCATTTGAGTTGCCACACAGTGGATCATTTTCCCATACACAACATCAACCCTCATGGATGACAAGGCTCGGTTCACTAACGGCAAAGTAAAACCATCATGGGGAACACCCTTTTGCCTCATCTTTTTGTACAAAAAGAGAGCTGAATCGAACAGACCCAAATCGACATGGGACCTCATGATCAAGTTCCACATCATTGTACGAGGTGCATCCTCTGGCCTTGTTCTGAACACCCCAAGAACACTGTCAAGGTCACGAAACTGTGCATACAAAGAAAGGATCTTTGAAGCAGTGGCAGTGCACAACAATGAATTGGAGACAATGAGAGAGGCGTGTGCTTCTTTCAGCTTCAAAAGGTCATGGCATGAGTTCAGAAGAGCAAAGGCATTGAGATGTGAACGTTTCAAGTGATGGGTGTGGAGAAGACGAAGTGGGAAACAAAGGTATTTGAGAGGGACATGAAAGGGAAGACAAAGGAAGGGAATTATTTTGAATGAAAGTGAAATGGGTTTGTTTGATTACTGCGAAGTTTAGGCTTCGAGAATGAGCCTTACTCCATTAAGAGACACAAAATTTCTTTCACGTTGCAGTGCATGCTCTAAAGTTCTTTCGCATGCTTCTAAATTGCAATATAAGAAACTTTTGTCTACAATATTGTAATTTGTGAGGCCTTCAAAGTTATGTCAGGACTTATCAACAACAGCATGCCACCAGTTTGCCTATAATCTTGGCTTACAGGATGGAGTTCAGTATAGGCTGGGAAAGGACAATTTGGTGGACCCTTATGCGCTTTGGTGTGGCAACTAACATCTCATGGTGCCTGCTGCTGGTTCAGTATTGTCGTGTAGCGCTCTTACAATTTTGCCAACTTTATAATAATATGTCCAAGCAAATATGCAATATTTTTTTTTTGTTGGGAAACAAATAAAAGCTTTTATTCTTTATTGAAAAGAAAATTATATTTTTAATAGAAAAATCTTAAAAGCATTTGTAATCTTTATTCAAACATGTCATTAATAAATAAATTCTTTAATGCTTTATGATTTCATGGGCATCTATCAACCAATGGCCATGCTGTTTGTCTTAGGTGTGGCAACGAACCAGAGTACATTTCACCATCTCTGGGATTGTTCAGTTGGTACAGAAGAGGACTACTCTTTCGAGCTCTTCGGCAAAAAGTGACTGCAGGCAGGGATGACGAAGTATAATATAAGGTTTTGCTTCAAACGATGGAGTGGCTATGTTAAACATAATCCTGCATCTGTTCTGGCACTGTAGGGGAAAAATGTACTCAAGGAATATGTGTATATAAATTTGAATGTGGAAGCTGCCAAAATATTCATGAGTCCATCCTATCATATTTTCCCTGCCTCCATAATGAGGGTGAACATACACGAGGCTGCAACAAGTTTCCTTTAGTTACTACAACATGTATTCCTAGGCAAATAGAATCTAAACCATATACATTTTTAATTATTTCTGGAAATATTACAAAGATAGCCACCAAGTTAGTTTAGTTATTAACTAAACATGCTTTCTTAAAATGGCTAGGAATGTCGTTTTCTATCTGTATATTTCTAGGAATGGAGTACCAAAGTTGAAACAAAGTAATCTTTCAAAGACTGTGGCACCACTCTAAAATGGCCTAAGGAATTTGGAAGTGTCTTTCATGGATGTATCTCCCCACACGATAGTTTAGATCACAAGACAGCAAACACCACACAACTTTAGCTCTAGGCACTGAACCTAGAAGAAGGCTAATGCTTCTGAAGAACGAGTAAAGACACCACATTGGAGAAACATGATCTAGTTCCTCTAATCATGTCTAACTTTTAGTGTAGGATAGCATCATGGAAGAGAATGGAAAACCAGAGAATTGAAAATAATTTAGTTTTATGCTATTATTATTTAGATTGTCCAATAAATAAAAATAATCCTTTAAATTTACCATCTGCAAGTGCTTGCAACATCTGAATAGCTTGTGGCTGAAACTGAATACATAAATAAAATCCATAAGAAAGTTAATGCAGAGACATCATCATCACCTGGTTATTCGTAACCTACGGGGGACCAATTGAACAGCAGAAATTTAGATAAGTGGTCACGTCAGTCCACTGTTAGCCAAGTCAATTTGGTAAAGACAAATACAAAATGCGGATCAAAATTTATTGCTGTGGTGGTATTGCACTATTTCCAAGATAACAATATTTATTGCTTGTGATAGAAATGAAAAAAGATAATAATTCAAAATAAATAAATACTGATTGCCATTAAAAATTAGAGTAGCTTGTTCAGAATAATCATGAAAAAGAACCATCCATCTAAGAAACATTCAATGAACAAAGCAACAAACTTTTATGATAGTTCACTAATAGTCCGTTCAATGATTTTACAATCTGAATCAATCAATCACTTCATAGATTGAAGGACCCCTGTAGTTAGTATACATAGTGATAGTAATATATTTTATAAAACTAGCTTACCAATTCTTCTTCCTTGCTGGCTGAATAATAACCAGGTTTCCAACTGACTCTGACAAAATAGAAGACAAGGAAAACCTGCTGAATCTTGCGGCTGCTCAAATCACGGCTAATGCTAATACTATATTTGTTATATACAATAGGCTAATTGCTACTGGTGCCACCACCTTTGTACGCCTTCAGAGCTCCATCTTCAACTGATTTGAATGAAGAGATACTGTACCGCAAATTTTTTTAGTTGTTAAATTCAGATTCAAAATTAACTTTGTAGGATAAACTAGAAATTCACATTCAAAATTTCCCAGTGACCTAAAAATTTAATCACAGCTTTCTTGTTATTTATGCAAACTAATTCCTTTTGAGCAATTATAACATTTTTACGAGAAGTTAACATGGCTTGAGTTATTTATAGGTATCCTCTTAGATTTTATGCTTTACAGCATCAAATATCTTCCCTAGCAAATACAGACAGCTCCCATTTATCTATTTATCTATATACACTATACAAAATCTCTTCTATAAAACAATATGTTGTCATGAGTCTTACTCCATGTATGTTTGTTCTATTACTTCAGAATTTTCATTTTGTGAAATATTTATTATGTTATAATTCACTAAAATGACAAATTAATCAATAACCAATATGTATTTATTCAATACAAATTCAAATTATATATCAGTAACCCATTACAAATTGTACGGTAATGCCACATTCATTATAATTTTAAGCCTTTCGTGCGTTCTGTTAGAAACTGGTTATCCTTTAAATTACTCATCTAATGGAAAAATAACAATTGTTTTTTATTTTACCTGCCACTAGAGTGCTCAATCAAGGCCTCGACCATGAAATAGAGCTCTTAAATGTTCCTTGTGTGGTTTCCCAACTCATTTGCGCCTATTAAAATTCAAGATCCAAATGCAAGTTGTAAAAAGAATAATTGAGAGGATTCTCTCTCTACACAGACAGAGACAACACACTCCACACAAGGGCATCATCGAGGCTCTTTTGGGATGGCTTTTGGTTGTAAGTTTAAAAAATTTTAAAACCTTCCAACCAGTTTTCAGTTTTTGAAAACTTTTCTAAAGTAGGACGAGCTTTGGTTTTAAACTTTCAAATAGGACGGCGATGGTCACCACCACAACAATATTAGAGGTTTCATCAATGATAATAGTGACATTAATAATGATGAAGTGAGTGTCAATAATAATTATGACGACGATAATAATAATAAAATTGACAACAACTGTGTAGTGCTTGGGGAGCAAGTATAGTAGCATATAAAGCAACGACAATACTAACATAAGTGGTGACGACAACCATCATGTAAGCAGAGATAGAAGTGATGTCATCGATGGTAGAATAGTAATAACGATAATAATATCATGCGGTAAGATAATGATAACGGATAAAATTGGCGGTGATACCAATAATAATGGTAATAACAAGGTCTCAAAGGTGGTGACACAGGTGATTATAGTAGTAGGAACACAATGGAAGTCACAATAAGAATGAGAAAAACATAATAACATAAAAGTGACGATGTCTATGATAGTAGTACTTGTGGAGGTAGTAGTGAGAAAATTCGTTGTCCGCCTGAGTAGAAAAATTTGTTTTTTAGAAACTAAAAAAAAATTTGTAAATCCTCTTTTTGTAAAATTAGATGTGACATTGTTTCAAAAGAGAAAAATCATTTCAAATTTATTTTGTGAATACCTTCTGATTTGAAAGTTGTATTTGGAAATCGAAAACTAAACTCGTGCTCATCCCAAACGAGTCCTAACTATCAATAAAGAAATATGTGAATGCCTATTCTTAGAATTTTCTTGGGGTCTAATTAAATTCTTTAAAAAATATATCCACTCGTTTTTATATTTTTTGCTAATTTAAAATATATGTAAAACCACTATTTTTATCAAATGATAATTTTATATGTATATAATTAAAAAAAAATTATATTTTTTAGTTATACCAATATTTTGTACATATCTCTTCAGCATTTTTTAATTTAATGTACTAATTATAATTAAAGGATTAACATCCAGGCAACACGCGGGTACATTTATAGTTGTTGTTTATTTATGAAGTCCAAATGCTGATTAAAGTAGGAATCATGATGAGATTAAATAAATAATGAAACACACACACACACACATTTATGTGGAATGGGTCTTTTGGGAGGAAATGGGTGCAATAGAAGCTTAAGTCTGATTTACCTGAATTTGCCGATGAGTCATAACTCAAGAGTGAGTTTTCTGGAGTCATGAAATTAGTGTTGTCTTCTTCTCTACCCCAAATGGATTGGTGGAAAGCATCGAATTGCCACGGTTGCTGATATTGTTGTCTGTTTCCATTCTGCGGGGTTTCTGGCCACACAACTGGTGCAACTGTGGGAGGGAAGTTACAGCCCACTGGAGACACTCCCTACAAGTTACCGAGAATATTTATCAGCAGAAGGAAATTAAAATAAAATCTGAACATCAATGAAAAATGCTGAAATGGCTCTATTGCTTCATCCACAATAACACACCCTAGAGCCTATACCAAATCCAACTGAACTCCTCAAAACACTTATTTTCAAATCCATAAAACCCTAGACCTTGTGGATGGAGATGCAAGGACTTCAATTACAATGAGCCAGAGAATTTGTAAATACTAATTATGATAAGATATGCGATAAAGTGCTAGCATCTACGCGTTCACATTGTTAACTCTTGTTAAGTGTTTACAGTTTTATTGTTGGTCTGCAAGAACATCCTACAGAATAAATGAATGACAGTAATTACGAGGTATCTCTTTCACTGTCCCCATTTTCAAGTTCACAATTCCAGCGTTTTGGAAAGTATATAAACAAGCAAAAAACAATTAGATATGCCAGCAGTAAAATTTTGATCAATCACTAATCAATGTGGACATTGAAGTGTTTGAGAGAATAGTTTAAAATTACATCAGACTTCTTAATACTGCACAAGTGTCAAATTTCCAATAAAACTATAACTGAAATTACTCCACAAGGTGATGACCAATGTTATACCTCAAATGTCTTAGAATCAAGCCAGACAAAGTTCATTTACATAGGGAGTGGATCCTCTCATGTTAAATAGGTGGGATCAATCTCACGATTATAAGGAGAAAGATATACAAAATTTAATCAATGATATATCATATAAATGGGATCCATAACCCATGCAATTGAGATGACTCCCCAGCAAACACAAAAGAGAAAAAATTATACTTACTTCGGTAGCCAATAAGCTGTCAAGGTTGAAATCAATTACTGGGTTTACTGCTGCCAGTTTCATTGATAATATCTGGAATGAGAACGTAAATCAATAAGAACAAGATCATCTTGATGAAAATTACTCATTACAGCATTATATTCCCATAGAAATATTCTGTTAAATCTTCCCAATGTTTAGATATTTATTATTGCAGTTCACTTGCAAAACAAACTTACTTTGATAAAATATCACTACAAAGAAAAGAGTTTCATAATTTTATAACTTCTGCACATATGTACAGAAACCAAGCAATGCACAATTCTAAGAGCATTTATTTTCAAGTCTCTGGTCCACATTAGAATGACAGGTGCAACCATTATAAGAAGAAATCCAATTCCAAGTTCTTAGAAGAAGGTCAACAGTTTATAATGACATATAGTACAAAACAATACAGCCATGATGGCTTTAATGCTTATAGGTAAGCAATATTTTATTTGTTCTGATGACTGCCATATCCCAGAAACTCACGGTTTGGGCTACATGTCCATTTTGAAGGATCAGAGAAAGAAAGTGAAGAAAGGAACACTAGCCACATTTTTAAAAAGTTTGTACGCACTGTCCACAGTAATATTCAGAATCACATTACTTCTAATAACTTTATCTTTCTCATGCTTGTTAAAACAATTGCCTGCAATGTCAATGATATGAGAGTCTGACCTCCACTTCATGCTGTAGAGATTGCACATGGTTGATGATTTTATCCAGAACCAATGCTGTTCCTGATATCTGTATATAAACATTGTCATGTCAGCTTCAGCTATATTGGACTCACAGATTAACTGTTTTGAGAAAAATCAAACACAATCTAAATGCATTACAAATCAGAAGAGTGGCCGCCTGTTAAGGCTTCTAAATTAAACATTATTAGGTCCACAGTACCATCGACAAATTTGTGATCAAACATGTATAGTAAAATCAGTAATTAAGTCAAAAGGAGACAGATGGATTTGGGGTGGCAGATTCAACTCGTTTTTTTCCCTAGTTAAGAAACATCCACAGCTAAAATTATTCAAAATATCACACTATTATAATAAATAAAAAAGGTCATGCTAATATCGTCTTTCGTGGCTTGAGAAAATATTTTAGGTAAATAATTTTTTCTCCCATTATTTTTTCTTTTTTTCAATTTCGTCTCAGAATTACTTGCGTGTTTATATGCTACAGTGATACCGAGAGCATCATATCAATAAGGATAAACATATCAATACCACGTTTCACTCTCTCATAGATAAACAGTGCTGATAGAAGAAATTATATTGATTCTTTAAAAGAAAAAAAAAAAGTTAAACCAAATTGATACTGAGAGTAACAGTGAAACAAAGTTTAAAAAGAAAAGGTCAGAGAGGAAAAGTAATTTAGCCAGTATTTTACAATTTTTATTTCTTATCTTTATCTATGCCCATAAACAAAGGGAATTTTCTTTTCTAACCACTTTTGGTATCATTGCAAAGAGACAAAATATAATCTATACCTATGTTATATATATATATATATATATATATATATATATATATATATATATATATTATTTATTTATTTTTTCTATTTATCATAAGTTGCCTTCAATCCTTTCATTTGGATATAAAATATAAAAATATCATTTCTTTCTTTTTTTTAAATAAACATTCTCTGTTTTTCTCCTCTTGAAACTCTATCTCGCGTTATTTATCTCTAACATTTTCTAATTTCAGGAACAAATATTTACATTTTAAAATTAATATATATTAAATTTTAATAAATAAAATAAAAATATAGACACACATCAACATATACATCTGTGTTTATGCTAATACATAATTACAAAAATAGTATTTTGTCTTTTATCTTATATTTTCAAAGGCTTGTTCGAAACAAGTTTTTTTTTTCTGTTTATTGTACAAATTTTTTTACAGGAGGAAAAAAAGTACTTAAAGGTTATACTTTTGTAATTATATTTTCATAAAAATAAAAATATTTTTTTCCAAATCAATCAGGCAGACAGGTGCAATTGAAAACTTTTGGAGATAAATCTTGAGGTGTTTATCTAGATTAAGGTTAGGCGGCCATAATTTTGAATGTTCGTAGCCAGTTAGGTTTATCCGTTTGGTAGATAAACTGCATAAGGAATGCTTTCTTTTTTCACCCTATTTTCGCCATCCCATAAATGATTGATGGATACCAAACTCCTAGACAATATGGAACCGTCACCGTCACAAGAAGGATTAATATTTCAATGGCTTAGGGGACCCATGCACACTAGTTTCAATACACCCACCTATGTGTCTCACAATCGATAAAGGCAGAGTCCAGCTAAAATAAGCCCCCCATTTTCGCCCCACACGCCCACCCTTCTGTCTCTTCACTAAGCCTTCTGGCTGGAGAAAGGGACGAGGGAGGATTACCTTAATTGTCCTGAACAAACCATGACGCATATTTTATTTGTCCTCTTCCAGAAAACAACGACTAATTTATGGCTAAATAAAATAAAGAATCACACTACATTACTTTTATCTAACATTCTTGTCTTGATGTCGCTTTTTGTACAGGTCATGAACAGCTTCTTTCACATTGACGTCCAAAATCCGGAGTCAAAAACATGATAGTGGAACAAAACCGGTTAAGTATGGAGGAAGGGCTTGCTATTACCTACCTCAAACTCCTAGCAACACACACCTCCCGCATATACAAGGCAAATAATATGTTCGGATTTCAGTTGATAACCTAAAGGCTTGCCAAAATCATGATTTGGTAGAGTTTCTTTAATGAGAAACCAAACACCAATTTCTCAATATGCAGTTAAGAGGTTAACAACACAATCTAATTCAATCTTTCTATTCTGGCGTATCATTTACTATTAATTAAAATTTTATTAAAAGAAACTACATAAATCACGAGTAACTCGTTGACATAAAAAAGTCTCACAAAATTTTGTAATCTTTAATAAATTTCAACAAACTTTAGAAAAGAGAAAAGAAAATGGGTAAAAAAAAAAAAATTCTTATTAACATTTTTTTCATAGCCTACCAAAACAAAACATTTTCCATAAACATACATAAAAAAAGAAAAACTTCTTATGTAAGTTACACAAAATAATTAATAGAAGCTCTTTTTCATTTAGCAAAATTGATTTGAAATTTTGCATAAATTAATTTGTAGTTATAAAAAACTTTCTGTAAAAACAAAAGTTATAAAATAGACCTTCATTTTACCAGTGTATATTCTTTTCTTATAAATACTTATTAAAAAAATTATCCAAACAATTCTTAAATAGAAAAACAAGATTGGAATAACAAAGGCCTCTGTTCTTTTTGTATTAGAATGACGAAATTAACCTCGAAACAGTATTGTTAAGTACGTTACAAGTGTGTAACCAATTCAAAAAGCAACACCAGATAGAGAAGGAGTGCAAGGTTCCGAAAATGCCTTGTTGACACACCCAGTGGGAGTGAGCACTTTTCTTGATACAAAAGAATGCACTTTTTTTAGGTGAAAAGGTGACAATGACACAAGCCAGTTTACAAAACCCCATAATCCCCGGAATGATTGCACTTTTAGGAGACAAATCATACAGATAATCATAGGATAATCATGAAAATTGAACATATCACGGCTAATGAACTCTATAATCAAGTGTTAAATTAAACCCTTAAAAAGAATAAAAGGGACCAACCTTGTTGCAACCCGGGACCAGCTCTTGCAAAAGCTTCATCCGAGCATTTATCTTCTCTCTCCTAGCCTACAACACAAACAAAAAAATGTAAAAGGTAATAATATTTTAAAAATATATATTCAACTTAACTTTTTTGACATAATAATATTATTCAACTCAACTCTTTCTCTTATAAATAACTGTGATTAAAATAATTAATCAATGGTTAATTAAATAGGTTACCCTTTCTGCTAAGCTGTGGCTATCAGTGGCTTGACCTCGACGAACTCGAACGTGAACGTACGGAAGCTTCTCGCCGTCGCCGGAACTCTCGTCAGCGACGACACTCTTGCTCTTCTTCGACGACGCTTTAACCTGCGTTTCACAGAATCATAGAATTTCACAAAAATTACCGAAAACCGAAACCCTAACTCCTGTCGCGATTAAAAATTGCGAGGTGTACCTTCTTCTCTCGCTCCTTCCTCTTCAAGCCCTTCGCGTCCTTGTTCTCCAGAGGGGGATCGGAGGCGGAGCCGCCGCCCTGAGTCGAACTCGGGTTGGAATCGGTCTCCGGCAGCTCGCGCTTCACCTCCGGGGAGTTCGAGTTCGTGTTCGAGTTGGAATTCTCTCCGGCGAAGACGGAAAACCTAGCGGCGCGTTCTATCAGCGCAGCGTTGGACGGGAAGGTCAGGTTGGCGGCGGAAGCGGAGGCAACTGAGGTCAACGGATAGGGTTTCGGATTATGGCGCGGCGGTTTCCCGGCGCGCTCTGGCGAGTGGAGGAGCTCGACGGCCTGCGTCGGCGGGAGCTCGAGCAGCGCGGTGAAGGAACTTGCGGTTTCCGGCGCCGGAGCCATGATTCCTTGGATTTCCTCGTTGAACTGAATGGCTTCGAGCGTGGTTTGCTCCATGATCCAATCGAACTGCACGAACCGAACCGGGTAGAATGCGGCGAACCGGACAGGAACTGCAGGGAAAGGGAATCACGAACGGTTCTTGGTTTTCAATCTGTGAAGAGTTTTGAGTGTTGCCACTGTGATGGAGAACTGAAAGAAAGAAAAAAAATAGAGAAAGAGAAAATGGAAAGAAAATGAATGGAATGTGTTTGGGAGTGATATATAAGGGGAAGTAGTTTTTAATGGCGGTCAATGCTTTTCTTTTTTTTTTTTTTTAATTTTCTCTCTCTCAGTTCTTGTGTGTGTTTCTGTGATTGTGTCTGTAAGATTGTTACTCCGCCATTTCAAGTACTAGTACTACGAAAGCAACGTCGCTATACGGGTATTTTTGTACGGTTGTAACGGAACGGAAGTGTTGAATACGGGGTTCTCAGAATCGCACTTCAATCTCTTCTCTCGTCTATTACATTACATTGCATAGGGTCGACAAGTGTCTTACACAACTTTCCAAACCGATTAACTTTAACAAAATTCAGTATCCTTTTTTAAAATAAAAAATAAAAGCGTGAATATATATATATATATATATATATATATAAATATAATAGAAATAAACATGTTGATATAAAAGAAATAAGAAAAATACCTTAATGAAATATGTTTAATTACTCAATCTCATGGTTCGAGCAAACTTTAGTTTTAGTCGCTATATTTAAAACTTATTTATTTTCATCAATTTTAATTTTTATAGTAGTTATTCAATTTATTAAAATTCGTATCTTCTACATTCATAAAAATGAGATTAAAAAGAACATGTAAGACTATATTTTTTATCTTTCTAAAATATAAAACATGTTAAATTAATTCTTATTAATTGTGTTATCTATATACGTCCAGGTTAACAAATATTACTATGTGTCATCATGTAACAATTTATATAAGATATCACAAATTTTTTAATAATGTAATTCGGATTGAATAACATTTTATCCTAAAATGTTTTGAATTAAAAAAAAAATGCAAGTTAATTTTGTTTTTCAATCTAATAAAAATTGTTCAAACAGAAACCAAAAATTGATCATTTGAGTTTTTCAGAACCAACTCATCTCAAAATCCAGTAAATTGCATTGGTTAGAATCTCGAATCATTTTAATAAAAAATGAAGAGTTAGTAAATTGGAATGGTTAGGATCTCAAATCATTTTAATAAAAAATGAAGAGTGTACCTTAAAAAGTTAGAGGAATATTGTATTGAGAGAGAAGAGGCAAAAGATTAAAAGAAGAAAAGTTGGATGAATATGATAATGGGAGAGTTGAGGAACAATGAGTAATAAAAATTAGAAATTGAATGAAAACGAGAAGAGGATTAATTAGTAATGAAATTTAAATATGTGTTGTTCAAATTCATCACCCAAATATTGGGTTGAGTATTTGTATTTTTTTTATTTAACTCAATATAATATTTATTATTTATTTATTAATAATCTAATATTTAAAAAATACATATTTAATTAGTACAATAACTGCATCAATAAAATGTTAGTTGTTTTATTATTATTATTATTGTTAATATTATTTGATAATTTTGATCAAATTTATTAGGTTGGGTTAAGTCTTAAGTTAAATATATAAAACATGTTATCTAACGTAAGTTTTTATTATTACTATTATTATCGGGTTTAATTGATGGATTTTATACATTCAATCTAAATCTAAAACTCATATAGTAGGAGATTATATTAAGTCGGATTTGACCCAATTATGAAAAACAAAAACTCAATATAATTTAATAGGGTTGAATATAATCGGATTTGGTCGTCAGGTTATGAAACCCAATGAAAATCTCTTAACTATTATATGAAGGAGGCAGATTTAGAAAGAGGTAAGAGAAGCTAAATTTTTAACCGATTAGTACCTCAAGCTAGATCATTTGTGAGTTGGTCTACATGATTGATTTGTAGGAATTACGAATATTGGGTTGAGTTGGATAAATTGAATTAAAATATGTTTGTTTAGATTTTTTGAGTTAAATAAGTTGTAGCGGGGAATTAAACATGTGCAAATTGTATGTAGATTTTTATGAGGTAAAGTTTTACACTAAAAAAAACTTAATTTTAAAGTTTTTTTTAAGTAAAAATTGATAATTTGAATAATGTGATGCTTAAAATAGATAATTTTGTTTCATTTTCATTTTTAAGTGAGACATTTAGGGAATTATCAAGTTATATTTTCACCAAAATAATAAAAGATTTCATTTAATCAACAAGTATCTTTGTTTAAACAAAAATACTTTAAAGAAAAATGAAAAGTATAAAAGTGATATCACTTAAGCATAAAATTTGTTCAATTAAACATGATTATCAAATTCATGAGTCAACTCACAAATTTAAACGAATTAGCGAATCTAATGGTTAGTCATAAGTAGGGATGGTAAAACGGGTTAGATCAGACGTGCTAGCCTGCCACTCACCATAATATGGCGGGCAGGTTGGTGTTTTCAGCCCATCGACCCGCTTTGGCCCCGCCTACCAAGCCCGTCAATCTGAAGGGCCAACCCATGAGACATGGCGGTCAGCTCGTGGCCCGCCTAATTAATAAAAAAATAATTTTTTATTATAATAAAATTAATTATAAAGATAATATATAAAATTAAAAATTTTAAAAAAATAATTAAAAGAGTTTCACTCTCACATAAAATATTTTACATACTAAAACACAACATTCTCTCATGTTTTCCTTGTTCATCCTAAGCACTGATTATTTTTATCTTTATGACTTGAATTAAAGGTGTAAGAATTACTCAACCAAGAATAATGTGAAGTTTTATCAAATAAAAAAATATAAGTATTTGAATTTTTCAATATAAAAAATATAAATTTTATAAGTTTTAATGTTATATATATATATATATATATATATTTGTTATTATTTATTATTATGTAAATTTTATTATTGTTCTAAATTATAATTTCTTAAAACAATGAATTGATTTATATTATTAAATTGAAATAGTGTATATATATATATATATATTGAATTATTGACAAACAAATAATAATCTTATCATTAAATTTATTAAAAAAATTATTTTTAAAAAATAAATTATTTTTTTCTAAATTATGACGGTCGACCTGCCAACCCGTCCTCGCGAGCAGGCCAAGGTCTACAGATCCGTCATGACTATAACAGGTCAGCCCGCCCCGCCCCGCTTTTGGCGAGCCAAAGGCGGGACGGGCCAAAACGGGGCGGGCTAGCCCGTTTTGCCATCCCTAGTCATAAGTTAACTCTGAGTATACTTATTTTAGAATATATTCTTATTTAAACTCGGTAGACTCTAAGTAAACTTGTGAGTGTGAGAACAATCACCGATTTTGAAGGAAATGAGACACTTACATCTCTTTTCACAACTCACACTCTTCATCATTTCTCACAACTCATCGTTACACTACATTGTTCATTGGTCGTTGTCATCGTTGCACTTCACCGGTTATGGTCATCGTTGCACTTCACCGGTTATGGTTACGCTGCACTGCTCGCGATACTCGTCGGTCATTGTTCGCTGGTCATGGTCACACTGTTCATTAGTCGTTATCGCATTAGTCATTGGTTGTGTGCTACTCGTCGTTGAAGTCGTTGTTGGTCACGCTGCTCTCGTCATCGATTACTACTGTTTTCGTTAGTCGATGGTGGCTCGCTAGTTGACTTCTACACAGACATAGGTTGGATTGAAATTTTGGATTTTAGGGTTATTCTTCATAAGGATTACAAATTCTTTTTTTATTTTCTTTATTTTTGTTATTTTGTCGCATGGACACAGGTTGAATTTATTTTTTTATTTTTTTATGTTGGTTATTTTAAATATAAAGATTGAAATTTGAAAATATCTTAAATTGGTTAAAATTCTTCTAAAGGTAATGTAACTACGTCTTCACTTCCATCTAAAAGTAAAAATGTACTAGAAAATAGAACAGATATTAAGTGAAAATATATATAATAGATGTTTTGAACAATGGGAAAAAAATGAAACGTAATTATTGCTCAAAGATATTTAATGAAAAAAAATTAGATTTAAGCATTATCTTGCTGAAACAAGATATGATTCTAAGCCTTCTGCTTCGATACCAGTGGAAATAAAAAATTTACTAATAAAAGTTATCATAGAAACTACAGATGTCTTAATAAAAAAAAAGAAGGTTGAATAATATTGAAAAAATTGATAATGAACCAAGTGAACAAAGTCAAAGTAATATGGTATTTAAAAATAAAGGAAATAGTGATAAATTTAGTGATGGAGTTCAACCTACTCTAAATATATTATACAAGAAAGGTGATTAAAAAAAAAAAAAAAGATGCTCAAGTTGTTGAATTTTTTCACACATGTCATCCATTCAATGTTATTAGAAATCCAACTTTCTTTTGCAAAAATATGAGATGATCGAAAGATATGGTATTGGCTATAAATCTTCATCTTATCATAATCTTAGAGAAAACCTTTTAAAACAAACAGTGGAAAAAACTAATGAAATTCTTCAAGAGTATAAGGATGAGTGGAAGAGAATATGTTGTACAATTATGTCTCATGGGTGGACAAATAAAAAAAGACATTCAATTTGTAACTTTATAGTAAACAGTAAGGGATTGTGTTTCTTTATTCATTGGATATCTCAAACATCTCAAAGACTACTGATAAGGTATGTTAAATGATGCGGTAAAATTTATTGGATAAGATAACGTAGTTTAAGTGGTTACCGATAATGCTAAAAATTTCAAGGCAACTAAAGAATTGTTAATGCATAAACAAGAGCATCTATATTGGACACCATGTGTTTCCCATTGTATTGATTTGATTTTTGAAGATTTTGATAAATATTTGACGGTCCACCAAGTAACTATCAAGAACGAAAAAAGGGTCACCACCTACATTTATGGTAAAAAAATGCTAATTAGTATGTTAAAGAAGTTCACAAAGGAAAGAGACTTGATAAGGCCTAATATAACTAGATTTGTCACAATTTA